CCCCCCCCATTCTAAGGACTTGATTGTCTAGTAATCAGCTGATTATCATATTAGAGAGTACACCCAGCAACAACCAGTATTTTTGTTCATTTTATCTCAAACCAGAGTTGGAGAATTTACGCAATGTTAGATGATGGTGACTTTCTTTCATCTTTCAGTTTTCTTGCACAATAGTTATGACGATGTTTATTATTTATAAAATTGGTGAATATCATCCTAGTTTTAGTTTATAGTTTTAGTTTGACCATGAATCTTGAAACAATTATTTTAGTTTCTTCAGGCGTTAGGGTATTTTGAGTACTGGGTTTAGCGAATCTGGTTTCTTTGTGATATTGAACACTTTACAGTAGTGGAAGTTTCAGAGATAACAAATGATCTAAACGCTAGAATAGAAAGACAGCGTAATGGAAGAACAACTATGGGCAGTGTTTCAGGCCTGTAACCCAGACACTGAAGGATTTATAAGCATTCAGGAGTTGGCTAATATTAGCAGGTTAGTTACGTAGTTAACTTTATGTTAGCTCTTGGATACAAAAAGTCTATGAGAATTTGGTTTAACCCTAACTGCTCTAATATAAAGCAGAGTGAGTGAGTTAATGAGCTTGTAATTAGCTAGTGAGTCTATAAGCAAGAGTCCGTAAGCTATTGAGTTAATGCGCTGATGAGCTAATGAGTAAATGAGCTAATGAGTTAATGAGCTAATGAGTTAATGAGCTAATGAGTTAATTAGCTAATGAGTTAGTGAAATAATGAGTTATTGAAATAATGAGTTAGTGAGCTAATGAGTTAATGAGCTAATGAGTTAAATGTGCTGATAAGTTAATGAGCTAATAAGATAATAAGCTAATGAGTTAATTAGCTAATGATTTAATGAGCTAATGAGTTAATGAGCTAATGAACCAATGAGGTAATGAGCTAATGAGTTAATGAGCTAATGAGTTAATGAGCTAATGAGTTAATGAGCTAGTGAGTTAATGAGTTAATGAGCTAAATGAATTAAAGAGCCAATGCATCAATGAGCTAACGAGTTAATGAGTTAATGAGAAAGTGAGTTCATGATTTAATATAGCTGACCTGTAAGCCCATTAAATCTTCTGTTCCTTATTTATCCATTATGTAAGCCATTTACCATTACCATTATTACTAAGATCTCATGTTGATTCTGAGGATGTGGAGAAAATACTTAGTATTTTTACAGCAAGTAATCAGGCAAATAATCGTTTCAACAATTTCGGATTTTTTTTCGTTTTTAGTGTCCTTTTCTTTCTTTTCTAAAAATATTTTTTTCCTCAAGGTTTTTTCTTTTTTTTCAATTTTCTTTTTTTTTCATTTCCGTAGTTTTCCCTTTAAATACCTTTTTTTTACTTATCCTTTTCAATGGCGCCCTGCAAACATTTATTCTCCGACAAACCGATGGCGAACGTATAAAGTCCAGAATTATTTACCCGCCAACTTCGCCATAAGCACATCAAGTCGGTAAAAATGTTTCCTGGCCATATTTAGGAATTGGGGGGTAGCACCCGTATCCTTATCCTTTATACACCTATGCTCTTCTGATAACGGATGTAATCATGTCTTTAAAATTGAGGACGACATTTGCAAAGGATCGGTTGGATTTCCCGGAGTTTCAGCATCAAGTTATCAATAGTTTGAACCAGGGAACAGGATATTGAAGCAAGTTTATTATCGATAAGAATTAGAAATTCAATGTTGAGAGGTTTCTTGGCTATTTCTTGATTAATATTTATGGATGACGACATTTCTTAGCAGCTTTCAGAAGGATAATTAAAAACAAAACTTTGAAAAGCAATTAAAAATAAGATTTTTTTTAAATTGCATATTTTATGTGTGAACAAAAAAATATTTTTAAGCTGTATACCTCTAACATCCTTGATAATAAGGTCAGCTTCCCCCCCACATAGAAATCATTTAAACGGATATTAGGATATAAATATTACGTTTTTTCAAGATTCATCAGATTGTAAGTTTAAAAATATTTTAAGTCTGTACTATGTACTATGTTCTAGTTCACACTAACCCCCCCCCCCCTTGCAAAAGAATCCGATTGTGCCTTTGAAAAATATTTTGTTTATCTATCCTTGTCGTAAAGGATTTGATGACAGCGCACAATAATGAGCTGGGAGCTAGATTACAAAGTCCGAGGTAAACAAATTCTTATCTATTTTTTTTTTTGGGGGGGGGGAGGGGGGTGGATAATAATAATAATAATAATGTATTCCGACTTATTTAAGTCTTCTTCTTTGAATTTAGTCTACATGGCTTATTCAATGATTTGACAAAGAAAGAAACAAGTTTATAATTGCTGGAATCATGTATGATCTATAATATTTTTGCGATCGCTTCTGTAATCTGTTAGGAATTTTCTAATTCATTAAGATTTAAAATTGGTATTACCTAAGGATTTATTATAATACAAAACTTCCAACCACAGTAAATAGCTAAATTTTTGTTCTCCAGGAAAAAGATGAAAAGACGACCTGTAAGACTGGTGTCTCAGGTAAGATAAAAAGACGACCTGTAAGACTGGTGTCTCAGGTAAGATAAAAAGACGACCTGTAAGACTGGTATCTCAGGTAAGATGAAAAGACGACCTGTAAGACTGGTATCTCAGGTAAGATGAAAAGACGACCTGTAAAACTGGTATCTCAGGTAAGATGAAAAGACGACCTGTAAAACTGGTATCTCAGGTAAGATGAAAAGACGAACAGTAAGACTGGTATCTCAGGTAAGATGAAAAGACGACCTGTAAAACTGGTATCTCAGGTAAGATGAAAAGACGAACAGTAAGACCTGTATCCAGGGTAATATGAAAAGACGACCTGTAAGACTGGTATCTCAGGTAAGATAAAAAGACGACCTGTAAGACTCGTATCTCCTGGGTAAGGTGAATTTGGGTTCAGTCTTCACACTTGAACGAAACAGTGGCGTCAATTTCAGCACAATATTTTTAGAATTCACTTGAAAACCAATTGATTTAAGATCAAAGATTATCTGTAAGTCGTCTCTTAACCGTCATTTTATAGTTGGACACCCTGTATCATTAATAATAATTTTATAGTTGGACACCCTGTATCATTAATAATAATTTTTAATTTCAGAGTAAATTAACTGGAGCTATACCATTGGTCAATACATCAAGTGAAGACGACAATGATTTAAAAATTATTTAATAGATTTAATTTTACAGTTTTATATAATTTAGTTTTAAATCTGTTATAGCTCCATTTCATTTGACCAAGATGATGTTTAAATTCGTTGACACGGGTCAAAGCAATCCAATATTTTGCTTTAGTTCAAATCTGAAGCATTAATGAAATTTTTTTTCTTCAAAATACTGAAACCGCTCTTAATTTTCCCAACAGTAGAGAACATTTATAAATAATAATTATAAACAAAGTAAAATTGATTTTGTAAATTGATTTTGAGTCTACTATTTTCCTAATATATGCCTCAAATTTTAAAATATATTTTTAATATTTGTATTTGAAGAGGATAGTTTTGATCGTAGAATAGCAGCAGAACTTGAGTTCGCGGGCAAAACTTTAGGAAACGATACATTCAAATCAATTATTCCTGTAATTTATCTTTTTCAATCAACTTGGTATTATTCTTAATCGTATATATGTTGTCAAACGGCTGGAATGATTGGGCTGAAATGTATTGTGGATCTTTTGGACACTCATGGGTGGCCGGGGGGTGTCACAGGCTAACAAAATTCAAAATATTTTTTTCTAACATTTAAAAAAAAAATTTCCCTTTGGCCAACACGTATTTTCTTAATTTTACACAAAACTTATTTCTTCAATCTAGAAAAAAAGGAAATTGTCAAAAAACTGCTAAACTACTTGTACGACTTCTGTGACTTTGTAGCTTTTTATTGTGATTCCACTCCTACGGTATTCAAATACAAATTTAATTGGTTGTATTTTAGAAATTTAAAACTATTTTAGTCTCCTTATTAGCTCTGTGAAAAGAGGAGTGATGATTGAAAACACCTAACTGCCATCTCAGAATATCAGGGATTACGACAGCTCTAGTTCGTACTAGTCCGATCCTTTCCTTGTAGTACTCCGGGACTGATTCCGTCCATGGTTTTCAATATTTCAATATTTTATTAAAAATTGTGACAGCTTATAAGGGATTTTCGACGTATTCGCCTGGTCTGTCCAAGGACAAGGATTTACATTTATCTAGTTGGCAGTGCATGATCTGACATGACATTTATCTAGTTGGCAGTGATATGACATGACATTTATCTAGTTGGCAGTGATCTGACATGACATTTATCTAGTTGGGGGTGATATGACATGACATTTATCTAGTTGGCAGTGATCTGACATGACATATATCTAGTTGGCAGTGATCTGACATGACATATATCTAGTTGGCAGTGATCTGACATGACATTTATCTAGTTGGCAGTGATCTGACATGACATTTATCTAGTTGGCAGTGATTGGACATGGCATTTATCTAGTTGGCAGTGATCTGACATGACATTTATCTAGATGGCAGTGATCTGACATGACATTTATCTAGTTGGCAGTGATATATTTCTTGTGAAAGATGTTCTAATAAAACTGAAGAATGTTGAGTTTAGAGCGCACTAAACCAAAATATTTAGTTCGAGGCTCCCAGATGAGAAGCACTGTAAGGTACAGCTTTAAATCATCATTTTTTTTTTAAATTTTACCTTTCAAATTTTATTATTTTACTGATCCAATTCATTCAATTTATTCCCTTTCCTTTTCTCTCTATCCTCAATAGCTTTTTTATCATATTTTTTGATTTTTTATAATTTAGATCTAAATCTAATACCCAGCTGCCATTTCTGTCTTCTCATCCAACTCTAGAGGTCGGCCATTTTATTTTCATTGAAAATCTATACAGTTATAACCAGAATAAAGTGGAATAAATGAAACTTTAATATATTTCTGAATATGTTTATGCTGAATTTCAGTTAGAACGATTTTAAATGAAAATTCCGGAAATCAACGCAGCACTTCTTAGTTACTATTAGGGTTTGGAGCAAATAGGAAAATTATCGTTTCTCGAAAATTTCGCATTTTTTAAGCATTTCGTTCGCTCGCGAAAAATGCGAAAAAAGAAAGAGAAAATTGAGTGGTTCATTTAAAAGATTCTTTCTTGTAATTGGCTGGCTCATAGTCATAGGTAAACGTATGGGGACGTACAGAAACTTAAAAAGATAATTAGAGAAATCAAATTCTCTTCATCAAACATATATTAAAGTGAAGGAAGAGAAAGTATTAATATGACATAATAAGACTTAAATTAGTGCAGAGAAGATTTTTTGCGCAATTTGGTTGCAGGTTTAACACTTATGGATGGTTTTCGCGGATTTTTTTCCAAAAAATATTTTGACGAAATTTTAGCATTTCACGAAATTTCGCATCGTTTTCGCAATTTTTCGCTTAAATTATTTTCGCAAAATGCGAACGAAAATTTTCCCATTTTTTCGCGAAACGTTTTGTTCGCTGCAAACCCTAGTTGTTATACAATAAAACGGAAATTCCGTTTTATTCTGATTATCAACGTCCAACAGACAGGGTTACCCACAAAAGTTTACAACTGTTTTTCCTCAAATCATTTAATCAGTTGTTTAAGAACATACTTGCTAAACAGAAACAAAGAAATCAGAGTTCAGATAGTAATATTCTTTTAGTTTTAGGTCGTCATTAATGTCTCATCCTTTGTGGGTAAACCTGTATCTTGATTCCTCCATGATTAAATTATAATCAGGAAACTATTTTCTTCTAGATTTCTCCGATCAGATCTGATGACGGATCAGCTTCCGGTCAGAATATTTATGAGTCAACTCCTTGTAAAACTGGTTCTGAGCTCCGGGAGCAGGTTCTGGATCAGCTCCGGAACCCGGAGCAATTGAATCTTGAGGAGGAGAGTCGAATCAGGAGAAGTTCGAGCGAGAATTCTGTTTTTCAACAAGTATCTTTAGATGCTCATGGGATGGATTCTAGGTACTTAATTTTCAAATTAAACAAAATCTTTTTCCGTGAAAATATTTTTAAAAAAAGTTTTTTTGAAACTTTGATCTACATTGAGTTCAACAAAAGTCATTTACAATCTTCTACGTCGTATTCTATTTTATATTTTAATATCTTTCTCCCCCTCTTGTCTACATTGCCTCTATTTCCAAAAAAAAATATATTATTTATTAGATCGATTGAGTCTGATAAAAGATGGAGAGAAGTTCAAGTTCCAGGATTAAATTATCGACCTAGATCTCCCAGGTGGAATGAGGGGGAGGAGAAGGAAGAGAAGGAAACCCAAGAAATGGATCAAGAGGAAAAAATGGAAGCCAAGAAGAAGGAAAAGGAGGAGAAGATGAAAGTGAATGGAGCGAAGAATATATTTTTCAGGTTGGCTGAGGAGGATGAGTTTAACCAAACCAAAAGGTAAGAAAATATTTTGTCGTTTTCATCACGTTTGCTACAGTAGCTAGCATACACACGAATACAGTGTCAGTTACTGAAACGGTGATATATCAGACAATTTAAAAACCTGATTATTCATTCCTTTTCAAATATACCCTGATTATTATTATTAAATATATGCACTTGGCCACTCTTTATTATGCAGGATTTTGAAATATTCGTCAGCTTCTGTATTATATCTCAATATCAGAAGAATATTTTGCATTGATAAATATCTTAGATCACTAACCAATGAATTCTTACCAATGGATCAATTGATAAGTTTAAAGTTTATAGTACAACGGATAATCAAACGTTTTTCGATGTTCAAAATTTTCAAATTTTACTTTATTTGACCCTGCAGTAGATTAAAGATATCTTGAACTAAATCTTATCATTTAATCCCAAAATGTAGCTAACTTATTACTGCCTAATCCCTAAATGTAGCTAACTTTTTACTGCTTAATCCCAAAATGTAGCTAACTTATTACTGCTTAATACCAAAATGTAGCTTACTTATTACTGCTTAATCAAAAAATGTAGATAACTTATTACTGCTTAATACCAAAATGTAGCTAACTTATTACTGCTTAATCCCAAAATGTAGCTAACTTATTACTGCCTAATCCCTAAATGTAGCTAACTTATTACTGCTTAATCCCAAAATGTAGCTAACTTATTACTGCTTAATCCCAAAATGTAGCCAACTTATTACTGCCTAATCCCAAAATGTAGCTAACTTATTACTGCTTAATCCCAAAATGTAGCTAACTTATTACTGCCTAATCCCTAAATGTAGCTAACTTTTTACTGCTTAATCCCAAAATGTAGCTAACTTATTACTGCTTAATACCAAAATGTAGCTAACTTATTACTGCTTAATCCCAAAATGTAGCTAACTTATTACTGCTTAATACCAAAATGTAGCTAACTTATTACTGCTTAATTCCAAAATGTAGCTAACTTATTACTGCTTAATACCAAAATGTAGCTAACTTATTACTGCTTAATCCCAAAATGTAGCTAACTTATTACTGCTTAATCCAAAAATGTAGCTAACTTATTACTGCTTAATACCAAAATGTAGCTTACTTATTACTCTCTAATCCCTAAGTTTAGCTATCGTTTAACGTCGTCGTATATATCCATACAATTAAGACGAATTTGGATTTTAATTTTTGTTTCAACCAATCTTTCAAACAGCATGGACAGTGAACACACGTAAACATGGAAACATAGAAAAGCTGTCGATTAACAGCTTCTCTTTGTTTACTTGCAAAGTTGTAATTTTAAAAATGCTTCTTTGAAATCAAAATTTAAATAGAAAAATCGTCCTCATTATATTGGTATAAACGCTTACCACTGTATTATAGATCTGTTCTGGATGGTTTAGAGAAGCAGGTTAGCATGATCCAGCACCAATATGAGGAGTTTGGATTGACTCCAACTAAGGCGATAGATTTCAAGGTATTATCATTATCATTGTTATCATTAATTACTGTTTTTGTCAAGATAATTTGTAACAATATAAAAGACTGTAAATGTAATTTGAAGCGTCTCTCCATTTATAAATTTATCACGAAAAGAGGAATTGTCTGAAACAATGTCTTGTTAATTAAAACGAGGTTGTGAATTGGACATGTCACCCTTTAAATGGAGAGTCACTTCTAATATTGTCGAGATTCACTTTAAAATATTCTTATTTTATTTTGAATATTTTTAGACTGAGCTTGAAACTGAATTGGAGAAAGTAAGAATAGAAGCAAGAGAGAAACTGGAGGAAGAAAGAGAGAGATGGGAAGAGGAGAAAGCGAAATGGGAAGAGGAGAGAGAGAAATGGGAAGAGGAGAGAGAGAGATGGGAGGAAGAATTTCAAGGATTAGAGAGAGAAAGAGAAATGGATAAACTAAATTATGAACTCAGGTGACATTTTTAAACTTTAGTTTACTTAATTTATTTAATTAGGAATTAAAAAAGTTTAACCAGCAGCTTGTGTTTCAATAAATTTTTGATATCTTGGATTGTTTTCCCTCAGTTTTGTTCTAATCTGGATTTAAACAGCTAAGAAACCGGACTAATACTTTGTCGGCTCATGTGTCGTGTCCTATGTTTCTTGAATCTCACTGTATGAATTGCTTTAGACTGGATCAGGTGCGTGGAGAGGTGGATAGACTGCGACGGGAGAAATCTGAACTAGTGGAAAAGGTAGGAATATGAACGGGAGAAAACTGAAGTAGTGGAAAAGGTAGGAATATTGACGGGAGAAAACTGAAATAGTGGAATAGGTAGGAATATTGACGGGAGAAAACTGAACTAGTGAAATAGGTTGGAATATTGATGGGAGAAAACTAAACTAGTGGAATAGGTAGGAATATTGACGGGAGAAAACTGAACTAGTGAAAAAGGTAGGAATATTGACGAGAGAAAACTGAACTAGTACAATAGGTTGGAATATTGATGAGAGAAAACTAAACTATGGAAAAGGTAGGAATATTGACGGGAGAAAACTGAAATAGTGGAATTGGTAGGAATATTGATGGGAGAAAACTGAACTAGTGGAAAAGGTAGGAACATTGACGGGAGAAAATTAAACTAGCGGAAAAGGTAGGAGAACTAGGGGAGTTGGTCCGCTCGGAGAAAAATAGTTTAGAGGTCGAATAATATTACAAAAGTGTAATTAGTTGAATATGGCTAACTGATCTAATTCTATATTACACTCTTGATCCCAATAAAAAAGTAGTTATACTACTTCTGACTTAAATATGTTGGAGCTTTTGTATTAGATTGCGCCAATCCCCTGATCTCAATGTCCACAGTGGAAACCTTAAATTTATTGATTCATATTTTGCAATTTCTTATTGGACGATACAAGAGTTTTATCTGGGTTCTGATTGGTCGGATGGCTAAAAGCTGAACTAAAATAACTATGCTTGGTAAGACATAATTAGTGATTTATGAAGCGATTAACAATACAAAAGTTCTGTTCTCTGGATTTGGTTAAACAAAATTAGATATAAACCCCGCATAAGGATTTGGATCAAAATTTAAATATGTTGATTTTGAAAACAAATATGAAAAATTTTCTTTATCTTTTTGCTTATTTAATTATTGCCTAGGTTCGATTACTGTACGAAGAAAAGGAATTGATTGAAGATACAAACAAACATGGAAATAATACCAACTTTTTCTCGGTAAGCAAAAATACTTTCAAACATTTCATTTTCAGTTTTTGATAATAACTGTTTACATCGCTTTTTAAAATCTTTAAGTCTAAAAGCCTAAAAAAAAGTTTCCATGTGCTTACTTCTTATGGCTTCAGAAATATGTTATAGTTTAAATCGGTCTTATTGAAATGTTCTCTTGTTTTGAACAAAATTTTTCATCCTGGAACCGTATTTAATGAATTGGTGAGATCGCTAAACTATCTATCGCCGTTACAAATCTTATATCACCTATTCAAATCCTGCTGAATGTTAAACATCGAATCGGTGTTTTAAATTTGAACCGGCAGTAGGTATGTTTAACGACTTAGCTCAAATTCAATCAATTTGGTCCTTGATTATAGAATAGACAACCCTGTATATAATTGTTTTATAATTGATGGAGGACTCCCAGGAAGAAATGTCTAAAATGTCGTTGGATTCAGACAAAACAGACAGAACTGAGAATAGTCGAACTGAGGTCAGATACCGCGTTTTTTCACATTTTTTCATCATTTAGATCATTTGTACTAAATGTTGTTATTGGGAAATTTTCTTACAGATAAAGCTAATAAACACTTTCCTCAAACTCTAATTTTTGAATCCTTATATTTTTGCGACCTGATGTCAGAACTTTCGTGTTGTGAATTTTGTAATTAAGCATTTATCTCTAGTTTGCAAATCTACGGATTAATTTCATTTCATCTCGATATCACGTGTTGACCTCACCCTGCAGGAATATCTAAAATGAATGGATCAAGTGCTATCTTCGCAATCAAAAGTGCCCAGACTGGATATCAAGATCTAGCGTTTTAGATTATGTATACTCCACACAAGTTCCTAAAGTTCTCGTGTGACTATATTGATCCATCAGAATTCATAGTTCCAAATGTTAAAAGTCTACCACATCAGGTTGCAAGGATTTAGAGGATTAAAAATAAGTTTTGAATGCGAGTGTTCAGTTTGTACCTCTATGGTTTAAATCATACTTTCCTGATTGATCTTACCTTCACATTATATCATAAACATTATTGGATTGGGTTAAAGGTTGGGTTACCTTCACATTATATCATAAACATTATTGGATTGGGTTAAAGGTTGGGTTTGGTGCTCTCAGGGACTGTAAGCAAAATTTTAGTGATCTTCCATCAAGGACAGAGAACGATGTAGAGTAAATGCCTCTTAAATGTTCTGTAAAAAGCAGTAATTTTTGAGTGTATGCAGGGGTGGCTCATGATATTTTTAAACAAACAAGTGATCAACAATTACAATTGTTACTCTAGACAAATAAGGAAAACCTTCATCCTTTATAAGTTAAAGGTTTAAAGGATATTGTTGTGAATCGGGGTTTTCCCTCTTTAAATGAAAGGTGACTGGAATTAAAGCGTACAGTCCCTTTAATTACTATTGATTAGTATAAATGAGTTTACATTGTGTACTGTATTTCAGATATATGGCCGGGGGTACATGAACAAGATACATCAGCTAGTAAATATTATGTACCGTATTGCAGATAGAGTTGCCATAGCACCTAAAAATTTTATTCGTGAACGTATAAACAATCGTAGATTTTGGCGATAAATCCTTGGTTTTAACAAGAAAACGTTTAATAAAGAGTGTTATGGAAACTCTTGCTACTTTTGTAGTTCCACAATCTGTCTTAACAGCAGATTTATTTCTATACATATATATTATATAACTTAGTTTATGGGGGAATTTTTAACAAAATTTTCTATTAATATGCATGCGTTACTAGGCTATAAAGGGTATGAGTAGTATTGTATAGATTAGTTAAAAATTATGTAAAGCAAATTTATATCATATATCAATAAACATTGAAAAATGGGTAACTCAAAATATTAATTTTAAAGTGAAAATTTACACAATTATTATTTTACTACTGATTGCGGTTTGTACGGCGGTTATTATTGCCGATTATTAAGCTGTCTGTAAGTGTACTGCCGTTAATACGGCTGTTAATATTGCCGATTATTACGCTGTCTGTATTGTTCTGTCGTTAATATGGCAGTTGATATTGCCGATTACAAGGCGGTTTGTAGTGTACTGCCGTTAATACGACAGTTGATCTTGCCGATAATAAGGCGGTATTGCTGTGCGGTTATTTATGTCGAAAATAAGGCTGTCTTTAGAGTACTACCTTTTATACGGCGGTTATTATTTCCAATAAAAAGGCCGTCTGTTATATAACCTGTTATAGAGCTATAATCTGGAATATATGAACCTGTTATATAACCTGTTATAGAGCTATGATCTGGAGTATATGAACCTGTTATATAACCTGTTATAGAGCTATAATCTGGAATATATGAACCTGTTATATAATCTGTTATAGAGCTATGATCTGGAGTATATGAACCTGTTATATAACCTGTTATAGAGCTATAATCTGGAGTATATGAACCTGTTATATAACCTGTTATAGAGCTATGATCTGGAGTATATGAACAAGATCCAACAGTTGACAAGAAGGCTAGAACAGCATGATAATGAGTTAATTGAGCTTAAGGAACAAAACACCAGTTTTTGATAATTTTTAGAAAACAAAATATTGTTTTATGTCGGAAAATCATAGCTATGCAGGTACATGTTCCTTTGTTCTCATAGTCAATCCAAAATAGGGCTTTCATTTTCAGATGTGTTCGAAATTTATTTTCAAAGTTTGAATCTTTTATTATTTTTTATTTTATTTTGCTATTTTGATATGTTGTTTTTAATATTTGGTGCTTGGGGTATCTAGGAGGATAATACAGTTCTCCGTAAACAGAAGCAGAAATTAATGGAGATGATGAAAGGAGAATCAAATAGGAAACGTTCATTTCTAGGCGAGTATAACAATTCCCGAATACTTTTTTTGTAATTTACTAAAAATCCGTGAAAAATACTTGGTCTATGAAAAATAGGATTAAACAATTTTCCCTTTAAATTAAATTAATTTTAAAGCAAATTTAAGGGTAATTTCTGGTAAGACAATGCCCGATTCACAACAGTATCCTTGAATCCTTTATCTCATCAGTAATGTTGAAGATAATGTCGGTTTTCTAGGAGTGTTTAATTCTAATAATTCCTATATCTTTTTCCATAGTAGAAATGCCCTAGTCAAGTCAAGTGATATCTGATTCATACTTGATCAGATAAAGCTCTATTCGGAATCGGACGTTGCCATCTTTGCATGGAGGGTCACTTTACTTTAGATATGCTTTCAATTTAAAGGTTATGGAACCAATTTAAAGCTAATGATCTTTTTAGAAAATGCCGATTTATCGTTTATATCATACACAGTTCACATTGTTCACAATGTTCACAATGTTCACAAACGATAAATTAATCACAATTTCAGAAAGTTTTTTAAAGCTGAACCGTTCGTCCAAAATTAATAGTTTGTCTAACGCTGCGTTTGACGAGTTAAATCTTATTCTTATAGGTCTCAGCCATTCCCGATCTTTCAATGGTTTAGATAATATGGACGTAGACGATCCTTCAGATATCAGGTTTATTTTACACAAATCATCCATGGACTTACAGTGATAACCAGAAAACTCGGGAATAGGATGTCGACTTTTAGTCTCTATTTATGACTTTTAAATAACCCAATGAGACACAGAAACTGTGCAGTGTAAACAGACCCATTTCACTTAATATGTGATTTGATAACTTAGTAGTAAATTTATTTGCTTTGTAACAACGTCAAGTGCACTTCAGTATTGCATTAAGGTCGTCTTCCTATTCTACAGTTTTCTGGTTATGACTGTATTTGTGTTATCTTACTGGGTTATACCCAATAAGATAGTAAAGTGAACTTGACACTCTTAAAATATAACATGCCAAAGGTTACATTAAGTATTTTCCCTTGATCAAAGGTTTTTTAATGGCTCATTTAGTAATTTGAGAAAGAAAGACACAAGTGTACAATTCCGTTAAATCACGAAAAGCTGAAAGAATACCGTTCATATTTCATACAGTCGTCTCTAGAGTCTCATTCTGTGTGGGTAGCCCTGTATACTCGAAGTAAATATTATAAATAATATAAAGAAAAGAGGTGANGGGGGGTTAGTATTACAACGAATATTTTTCTGTCTTTTAGATCTCAACCCAGTTTTAAAAAAGAAAACCTTTTTTCAGATTCTTTTTTTTGACAGAATTTCATGAAAATCTGTTCTTTTTATTTTAATCCGAATTGTACCGTAAATGAATATTTCAGGATTAGATGTTCAGAACTGTGCAGGCAGGTACAGGACCAAGCTGATAATAACAAACAGCTAAAGGAGTACATTCACGATTTACTGGATAATGTTATGAAGAATAACCCGGGCTTGCTGGAAAAAAGTTAAGTCCGCTCACGATAAAGAAAACTAAAAATCTCTCTTAAAATTAGGCTGTCATTTTCCTCATAAAAATCAATTTTCTTTTCCGTCGCTGTAATTAATTTTCTTTCCCGTCACTGTTATAATTTTTTGTCCCCGTAATCAATTTTTTTCCAAGTCACATTGATACATTTTTTTCCATGACCGCAATAACTTTTTTTTCTTGACGCAGTAATCAATTTTCTTTTCCGTCAACGTTATCAGTTCTATTTTTTGTCCCTGTAATAAATTTTCTTTTCCATCACTGTAATCAATTTTTTTTCCGTCCCTGTAATCAATTTTCTTTCCCGTCCCTGTAATCAATTTTCTTTCCCATCACTGCAATCAATTTTCTTTCGCTTCTTTGTAATCAATTTTCTTTTCAGACCCTGTAATCAATCTTCTTTTCCGTCACTGTAATCAATTTTCTTTTCCGTCACTGTATTCTTCTTTTCCGTCACTGTAATCAATTTTCTTTTCCGTCACTGTATTGAATCTTCTTTTCCGTAACTGTAATCAATTTTCTTTTCCGACCCTGTAATCAATCTTCTTTTTCGTCACTGTAATCAATCTTTTTTTCCGTCACTGTAATCAATGTTCTTTTCCGTCACTGTAATCAATTTTCTTTTCCGTCACTGTAATCAATCTTCTTTTTCCTCACTGTAATCAATTTTCTTTTCCGTCACTGTAATCAATTTTCTTTCACTTCATTGTAATCAATTTTCTTTTCAGACCCTGTAATCAATCTTCTTTTCCGTCACTGTAATCAATCTTCTTTTCCGTCACTGTAATCAATTTTCTTTCCCGTCATTGTAATCAATTTTCTTTCCCGTCATTGTAATCAATTTTCTTTTCCGACCCTGTAATCAATCTTCTTTTTCGTCCCTGTAATCAATTTTCTTTTCCGTCACTGTAATCAATCTTCTTTTCCGACCCTATACTCAATCTTCTTTTCCGTCACTGTAATCAATTTTATTTCCCGTCACTGTAATCAATTTTCTTTTCCGTCACTGTAATCAATCTTCTTTTCCGTCACTGTAATCAATCTTCTTTTCCGTCACTGTAATCAATTTTCTTTTTCGTCACTGTAATCAATCTTCTTTTCCGTCACTGTTATCAATTTTCTTTTCCGTCACTGTAATCAATCTTCTTATTCCTCACTGTAATCAATTTTCTTTCCCGTCACTGTAATCAATTTTTTTTCACTTTATTGTAATCAATTTTCTTTTCAGACCCTGTAATCAATCTTCTTTTCCGTCACTGTAATCAATCTTCTTTTCTGTCACTGTAATCAATTTTCTTTTTCGTCCCTATAATCAATTTTCTTTTCCGTCACTGTAATCAATTTTCTTTTCCGACCCTATAGTCAATCTTCTTTTCCGTCACTGTAATCAATTTTCTTTTCCGTCACTTTAATCAATTTTCTTTTCCGTCACTTAATTTTCTTTCCCGTCACTGTAATCAATTTTCTTTTCCGTCACTTTAATCAATTTTCTTTTCCAGCCGAATGTAATAAATTTTCTCTTTCATCGATGAATCAAAAAAAGAAAATTTCTGAATAAAAGTACAAAATCTAAAAAATGGTAAAATCTCTTACTGTATGTGCAATGTACAACCTTTCTTCGTGCAGATTTTAACTAGAACGTTTTTACGTTGTACCTGACCAGACTTTGTGATATATGGGTATTAAAACTAAATTGTAAAAATTATATATGCCTAGCATTTTTATATAATAAACTGATTTTATAATAAACGGTATTTAAATAAAGAAAAATATATGTGTTGTTAAACCGTATATTAATGATGGCGACCTCCAAGAAATGTTCTGGTTTACAAATCACAATGAACAGCTGATCTAATCATCTGAACAAAATGGCGTCCTTTTATGAAGTTATTAAGATTCTTACCTGTTGAGCATCTTGAAAAAGAAGATGGTTGCCACCCCTTGGACGTCTATAGTTTGAGAAAACTGTATTCTTTCCACAAACTAAAAAAATAAAATCTACAAATTTGAAGAAAAACACAACCTTGAACAATTTTTGTTGAAAACGATATTATGGTGTATCCATGGGTTTCAAACCAGACAAGGTTGTACGTACAAATTGTGTAAGCTTTATGAATTACTTTTTGAAAAACAAAATTGTTTGAATAGGAAGTTCCTTTTTCAATCTTTGTATAAAGATTGGTAAGATTTGGAGCAAATTGTATTAATATTTTTCGTAGATTTTTAATTATTTTTCACAGATTTTTGTAAAACTTTAAAACATAATGCTAAAAACGCCATGTTCCATAGAATAACCGTTTTCTAATCAATTTCCGAAGGACAGAAAAAAATTTACAAAAATATTAGGGATTTTTTTAAAGTTGTACCACTTGAAAGCTTTCTAAAGTGTGCTATATTCAGGGTTACCAACAAAAGATGACTTTTTGACGATCTAAAACTCTTAGGTTGTAACTGTCTTAAAGTTGAACAAAGTAATTTAGATAAAAATCTGACTAAGCTATGTTGAATGATTTTGCAAAGAAGAGAGTGACACGATTACTTATGCAGGGAACAATTAAAGTAATAAAAACTGTGAATAAATTCGGTACTGTCGTCTCTGAGGTATTAACTTATGTGGGCAAACCCAGTAACTTCTTTGGTATCTTAAAGATTTACTAATGTATTGATAATGGACAATTTTAGACTTCTTTAGACTTTCCTTAGATGAAATCTGAACTAAATTTATCAAATCTATGGTGTTCAGTAAAACACAAAAAAGTCGAGCCACAGTTTGGAGTCACTGTATCTCATTACTGAATAAGAATCTTAAAGAAATAAACGTATAACTGAATAATTGCCCAACTAAAGTTTTTAAAGGAATTAAATTATAGCTGAATAAGCGTCCAACTAAAGTTTTTAAAGGAATTAAAGTATAGCTGGAAGACAGAGCACTTTTGAAAGGGAAATGAATTGGTAAGTTTTTTAAAAAAAAAGACTACTGTCCAATTTGAATTCTAAAAAATTGTTTTGGAATATTTAGCCATTTTACTGGAACACTAATAGATTACGATTTAAAGGTTTTTCGTTTCGTATTTTTATTACTCGGCCATTTTTATTAAAAATTTTACATTTCAGCTGTAACTAGCGGAAAATCAACACTTTTAATTGTTCTCAAATTTCGGTGGACTTTTTTGTTTTAATTGGCGAATCATTAAAAATTATAAATATCACATTTATGTCCGGGCAAAATTTTCCAACTTCGACACTGTCTTAAACCTTTCCATATATCATATGCGAGATTTCGCAAAAGGTGTGTTGGAGACAAATAGACAAACAGACAAATAGACAAATAGACAGAAAAGCCAATTTTATAAAAAGATAACAGTACATTATTACCTGTTCCTGAAATCCTTATAAAGTGTTGTACAAAGAAAACCCAAAACCACAAAATCATTTTTAATTTGATTTAATTAATTTTCACTTTTTGAGTTGAATGTTAAAACAACTTTTCTTTGTAACGATACACTGAAAATATGTTACTGAATTTGTTTACAAGTCCGTTTCATTTTTGCGTAATTTGCGTCACAAGTTCTCCGTCCCAATGTTTCTTTGCGTCTGACAAGGCAACTCTGCGTCACTAGGGGAGAGTACGCAAAACATATCAGCGCTGTCTGTATCCGACCCATGATGTTTCTTGTTTGCACTAATTATTACATGCGTAAAATGCCGAAAAAGTCCCCCACCCCCCACCGCCCCCTGTGCAAGTACTGTCGTCGTACACAAGAAAAGGGTAAGTTTTGTAAGTAAGCAAATCTTTTTCAATATTCACAATTTTTGTTAAATATGACACAACTTAATCTTAAGAGGTAGAACAAATTTCAAAGAAAATATAATTTTGAGACCAGAACACGTACTTTCCTTTCTTTCTGGTGTCTATTACTTTCGCCTTGAATTGAATTAAAATCCGTAAAAAGAACTTGATTGCGTTTCTTCCTGGTTTCTTGTAATCCTGACTGGGGATTTTTCAAGTTTTAGCGGATTTGCATACTCTTGAATTGCAAGTTTAGACGCACTTGTTATCCCCTTATGGTTGAAAAATGAGGGAGGGGGGGATGTTGATAAATTGGACGAGGGGGGATTTCATGCCCACACTAGTGTTAAATAAATGCTGTCTAAAAGATTCTGAAGACTGAATTTCAAATTGTTACATCAATTATTTTTCTTTTTCTTTTTCCTCAAATTTTTTATAATTCATACACAGGCAAATTTATTTAACTCTCTTAACTGAAGATAAATTAATGTTTTATCGGTCTGAAAATAATTACAATAGATTTTTACTGATTAAAAAGAATAACATTTTCTTGAGTATGCTGTACAGGGATAAACAGAAAACAGTGGAATTATTATTTACGTCAAAAAATAAATTCTTACTGTCCACATTTACAATCTGATTATTTTCCTGTTTCTTGTTTCTTCTTGATTATTTCCAAGTGCAGAGAAAGGAGAAAAAGCTTCAAAGCATGGATGACTTGTACTTTGTAGAATGACAAGTTTGATTCAAGGACAGTTCTCCAAGCTTTATATAGATAGATAGAATACATGCAGGATATACAGGGCTGCCAACAAGGGATGAAACTGTTAGATTTCTATAGTTAAATTTAGTTTTCTGCCTTAGTCTTTTAACCGTTTGTTATATTATTTGACAAAAAGGAGAAAGACAGTATAGATTCCGTACAGTCGTCTTAAAGGGACCGTTCACTTTTTTGGGTAATTTCAGGGTAAACTAAACAGCTTCTTTGAAAAGTAAGACTATTACCGATGAATAGCGCTTAGGCTGTTTAGTTTACCCTGAAATTACCCAAAAAAGTGAACGGTCCCTTTAAAACGCTCATCCTTTGTAGAAAGCCATGTAGATTGGATAGACAAGGTTGTATAGACAAGATTAGATAGACAATATTGGTTATACAAGATTAGATAGACAAAATTGGATAGGCAAGACTGGATAGACAAGGTTAGATAGACAAGATTAGATAGACAAGGGTAGATTGACAAGATTAGATAGACAAGATTATATAGACAAGATTATAAAGACAGGATTGGATAGAAAATATTCGATATTACCTATCGAATATTGGATAGACAAGATTGGATAGACAAGATTAGATAGACAAGATTGGATGGACAAGATTGGATAAACAAGATTTGATAGACAAGATTGATAGACAAGATTGGATAGACAAGATTGGATGGACAAGATTGGATAGACAAGATTAGATAGACAAGATTAGATAGACAAGATTAGGTAGACAAGATCAGATAGACAAGATTGGATAGAAAAGATCGGATAGACAAGATTGAATAGACAAGATTGGATAAGCAAGATTGGATAGACAAGATTATGAAGACAAGATTGGATAGAAAAGATTGGATAAACATGATTGGTTAGAAAAGATTGGATAGACAAGATTGGATAGACAAGATTGAAAAGACAAGATTGAATACACAAGATTGGATAGACAAGAATTTGAAAATAAGATTAGATAGTCAAGATTGGAAAGACGAGAGGGTAAAAAAAGTTTTGATAGACAAGATTGGATAGACAAGATTAGATAGTCAAGATTGGAAAGACAAGATTGAATAGACAAAATTGAATAGACAAAATTGAATAGACAAGATTGGATAGACAATATTGGATAGACAAGATTGGATAGACAAGATTGGATAGACAAGATTATAAAGACAAGATTGGATAGAAAAGATTGGTTAGAAAAGATTGGATAGAAAAGATTGGATAGAAAAGATTTGATAGAAAAGATTGGATAGAAAAGATTGGATATACAAGGTTGGATAGACAAGGTTGGATAGACAAGAATTTGTAAATAAGAATGGATAGACGAGATGGTACAAACAAGATTTGATAAACAAGATTTTATAAGACAAGATTGAATAGACAAGATTGGATAGACAAAATTATATAGACTAGAGACAAGATTGAATAAATATGATTGTCTTATTGATCTATGCCATAGTTTAGTAACATAGATCAATCACAGATTAATCCTATACCACTTCTCATTATTATAAATTATATTTTAACCAACTTTTGTCAAAACTTTTCTTGCATTGAAGTGGTTTGTGCAGTGTACACAATACAGGGTGGGGTAATATTTGTATCTGCACACACATCTTAAATCTTTATACTTTATTCTTTAAAGAAATATTGCGACATTTTCCTCAACTTGAGATATTATCAGTTTCTTCTTATTACTCTCAATTTTTACATCCTGTAGGTTTATACAATTTTCACGTCGATGAAAGTAAGAAATAATCGTTCATCTTTCAAATAAACTTATAAAATTATAATAGGAGCAAACCTCTGGGATATCGTTTTTTTCGGATTGGTTGCGTATTTGCTGAACTTGATCTGTTTAATACTACTATTTTTATACCAAATTTGGTATATACGGATTTTGGTATAAATTTGACACATTTTTTTATCAATTTCTCGAGACATGAACATCAGATAGAACTCGATCAACTCCTAAGTAAGCATAAGCATTTTTCCTTTACAGTCCCTTTAAATGTATGTACCAATACATTATCATGTACTGAAATTGTATTACATCACTATTTCAATAAAAGACTTCTCTGTGTTGATATGTATGCTTACCACTGTAGTCCATATCTTCTATATAATAAAGGTACTCGCTCAACAATACATCTATTTATATATGTTAGCTAAAGCTGGTCAAACGGCAGGACCGAATTAGCTGAAATTTAATTTTTCAAAAAAGTTTTTATTCTTCAAAAATCGAAATTTTTTGTTCTGAATTCGATTTATAAAATGTCCACGGTCAACGCTGGGCACTTGAGCTAGTATTTTCTTACTTTGTTTGTCTAGGCCTAATGTTGGCCTGGTAACTGCCTAGTGCCTAGGTTTAATGATCTAAGATATCTGTAGACCGGAAGTGAAGAAAACAATGAAGAAACGGGAAAAAATGTTCCGGAATTGAAATTAATATAAATTGAACTTGTAGAATTTGTCACCTTGTCAAAATCAAGGATGAAAACAAGTATACTTCCGCCTCAAATAGATTAATTAAAGAGAATCTTTTCAACGATAAGTCATCTGTAATAAATATGTTTGGCTTGCCTGTTTGTCTTCAATAAACGTTAAAACAGCTGAACCCACCTCATATAATCTAAGTTTGAAATATCCAAGGTGTACACCATTCGGTTGCAAAGATATAGGGATTTGAAAATTTGAGTTTGTGGCAAAAACTCAATTTTTTATTTTACTCGGAAACATTTTTTAGATTTACAATCACAAAAAAAATATATTTGCAAAACTAAATTGTTTATTAATGCACGAATTCAAAAATTCTGCCGAAAGAGCAAAATTAAATAAGAAAAATTATTACGCGTATTGTTATATTTTTATAACTTGACAAGCAAATCTGCTGAAATCTGAGCAAGGTGTTCTGCTCGTACTGTTTTATAAACCCGTGGATAATTAAGATAAATTGCAAACCACAATAATACAGTAGGTAGTTGTTAGGCATGTTTATAGAGGGGGTATTGTTGCAAGCCGTAGGGGGTTGTATGTGCATTTTTATGTTTACTGAATAAAACGGGAGCGGGGTGCAAAATGAATTTAAGAAACAGCTAAACAATAGAAGTTCCTGTTTGGTTTTATTATATCTCTGTTGAAGATGGCTGTATAATGTTTATATAATATTAATAATGATATCCTCATTTGACCCTGAACTCATGACATTGAGAAAATATAATAGAACAAAGGCGTTGAACTCACTAGTTACTACGCAGTATAAACTACAGGAAGGGAAGATTTTCACAATAAAACCCTAATAATATTATTGAGCATTTAAAAAGAACAATCTTTACTTTTCATAAAAATGATTTTGATTTTTTAATTAGAACTTTGATTTTTTCGAAGTTTTCTTTTCTTCTTTTTTTTATTCAGAACTTATTTTATAAAACATACTGAAAGTTTTCAGGAGAAATTAAGAAAGAATCAGAAAAATCTTGAGGGATTAGATTTGAAGTTTAAAGATAGCTTCGGATGAGAAAAATAAAATTTTCAATCTTCTAACAGGATTTTATTGCCCTGAATATTCTGTTCTATATTTTCGATTTTGGATTCTCACAGAATTTTAGGGGCACAAAATCTTTTAAAACTTTGTTATCTCGCTGTAGGTTAAATAACGCTAAAGAAAGATTGAGTTTTCTCTGATTTTATCCCTGTTGTTTCCATAGATAAATAAATAAAAATAGATAGCTTATGTACGCAAAATCACCAAGAATGGTAAACTCATACTTCTAGGGGTCAAAGTGTACTTCGATGATAAGCGGGGTGGTTTGGTGTTTTAATGGATTTCATAAATATTAAACCACTCAGGAGTGAATTTTATTTTGAGAATATCAAATTATTTCACTGAGCAATATATCATATTGACGAGAATTGAAGAAGGACATGAGAAGGACTAAACTAACTTAAATTTCTTTTTACAGAACTCATGTACATTGTACACCACAAGTACTCAATAACATAAGAACAACAGCCAATGTTCACAACCGACCTAGTTAATCTATATAATAGGAATATCTTTAAAACATCGCTGTACATTTATATCTTTCAAGATGAAAAATGTCGTCTTATGCGCAATCTATCTTTATCTATGGTTGTTTCTCTGAAAACTAAAATAAATTCAGTTTGATTTGAGGCTCACAACCCAGAATGAACATGCAATCCTAACTGTTATGTTTATTGATATTATGAACCATCTGACGGAAAATTTGATCTAACATTACGATGATTTTAACGCGAAAGGATTGTCAGGTTTTTAAAGCTTTGACCGCTAAACATTGCCTTGGACCATTTATGTTTTAGAATTGGTTTATTTTCCGGGGCTTATATAGTTCAGGTTTTTCAGGGTCAAATCTCAAGCAGAAAAACTTCTTTTCAAAAAGTTTTATCTTCACGCTTGACTGCACAGATAAAGGGTGCACGCACGTAGCCCGTAAACTCAATGAAATTATTAATTTTGTTCATTGAGCGCAGCATTTGACGTCCTTGGATAGTTGTCAGATAATTCCGGGGTTTGTTCTTTTATCTTTCATTCAGTTTTTATCTTTCTTTTCATTTTTTTATTTTATCTTTTTGTTCATATCTAATTGTTATTTTTTCGTCTTTTTTCTTCTTGTTGTTTTGGTCTTTCTTGTTTCTTTTTTTTGCATTCAATTTTTGTTTCCGTTTTTTGTCCAATTCTTTTCTTTAATAAATTTTTCCAAAAAGTGATAGGCGGTTACATCAATAAAATGAAGACGACTTTTTTATTTCAGTTTTGATTGTTTACAGCTTTTTTCGAATCACAAGTTTACAAGTAATCTAAGAGAAGCTTTTCTAATTGACAGCTTCTCTTGACTTCATTGTGTATGTGTTAAGCAGCTTGATATAAATCAAATGGAAATCAAAAATCGGTTTTATTGTATTTATATAATCGCCTACCAATATAGTTGATATCTTAAAGTATTCTTTTTTTCTCAATTTACCATTTTATATTATTAAAATAATTGTGTAACTCGCATTCTTTTCTTTATTTGTTTGTTTATAATGTACGTTTGTCCTGAGTAAATTTTTTCATAATTTAAATCAGCGTGAAAATTGTTTTTCATTTGACTGATTCCTGGGATGGATGAAATTAATCCGGAAGAAAAGTTTCGGTTTAATCAATCCGAGATCGATAATGGCCATTAAAACAAACTTGTCAAGTAAATATGTTTTCAAATCAACGAAGTCATCATGCGATATTCGCAGAAAATACAGAGTTAAAAGTTTTGAAAATCAGCCAACTGTTTTCTGCTTATTTGTCAAGTATTATGCTTCGCATATTTTTAGAAATTGAGGTGTTGAGAAAAAATTATAGACCATGGTCTCCAGATCTACTAAACTGCTTCATTTCTACTAAACCTCTTCAGATTTACTAAATATCTTCATATCTACTAAACTCCAGATCTACTAAACCCCAGATCTACTAAACTCCAGATCTACTAAACTCCAGATTTACTAAACTGCTCTTATAGATCTACTAAAATCCAGGTCTACTAAACTGCAGATCTACTGAACTCCAGATTTAAAAAACTGCTCCAGATCTACTAAGCTCCAGATCTAGTCAAATCCAGATCTACTAAATTCCAGGTCTAGTAAAATTCAGATCTACTAAATTACTCCAGATCTACTAAACTTCAGATCTACTATACTCCAGATTTAGTAAACTAAAGATGTACTAAACTACTATAGATCTACTTAATTCCAGATCTTATTAACTCCGGATCTATTAAACTCCAGATCTACTAAACTACTCCAGATCTACTAAAATCCAGATCTACTATACTGCAGATCTACAAAACTCCAGATCTACTAAACTCCAGATCTTGTAATCTCCAGATCTACTAGCTACTCCAGATCTACTAAACTATGGTCAAGATCTACTAAACTGCTCAAGAACTACTTAACTATACTCCAGATCTACTAAACCATAGTCAAGAACTACTTAACTATACTCCAGATCTACTAAACTATACTCCAGATCTACTAAACTGCTCCAGATCTACTAAACTTCTGAACCGAATCGTGGATTAGTTTCAAGTTCAGTTGGAAGAAAACCTTCACATCATGGTCTTCAGCTCTAATTGTTGAAATGTCAACAAAACAAACAGCTGACTAGTAACTTTACTCACAAGATTACGCGGCAATTTAACGTATCATGGTGCGGCCATCTTTTTTTAACAATCTGCAATTAACCGCGTGAACAACTTTATTTTCAAAAATAGTTTAAAATTATATTAAAGACTGGAAATTAGGAAATAAATTTAGTTCGAATATATTTATATACAAATGCTGTACAGAAGTTAGAACTTTTGGATAGTTAATCTCGAGATTAAGCATTGATCTCCATCTTACAGGGCTACGGATTAATTTAATTCGTCTTCGATATCCCGTCCCAGTCATACCTTGCAGGGTTACCTTTAGTTGAGGAATCAAGCATTTATCCACAAATTTGAAAATTCCCACAATGAATATCTTAATATAGCGTTCAATTAAATATTAACGATACTCGACAGAAAGTTTCAACCTCAAATTATATTCATTTTAACTCTGTTTTCTAAATTTCCTGACTCCTGTAAAATTTACTTTTGTTATGCATACATTTCAAAAGAGGCTTCAAAATTGTAAAAACTTTCTTTTATCCTCATAAACTTTATTGAACCCAAGAAAATTGTGTACAATGTATACGAATTAATTATTTTAACAAAGGAAATGAAATATACATAAAAAATTATTTAAAGTTTATGAATCCATTATAAAAATTGTGAACTTGATTTTCATTCAATCATGTATTTTGTTTGTTTAACATTTCAAAACATACCATTTGTCAATACTAAACTGGGCCAAATTGAACCATTTATTTTTTTATATTTTAAAGTACTATATGAAGATTTAACTTAAGTCTTAAAGTCGTCATTTTATTCCAGAGTTTTCTAGTTCTCACTGTAGAAAACAGTCACACGGCTTGGAGTCATGAATTCATAAAGTATGGCATTCTTATTTAATATCTATATAATTAATCAGGGTGTAAAGTAAGGCGTAAATGTCCAAAATGAATTTGAAGTTCCATACCAGCAATCCGTGGCTTCACACCATACAACATACACATCATAAACCCTTAAACACATTTTTAGAATACAGTGAGATTCTGAAAAGTGTTGAATAAATATCGTCTTTGTTTTCCCTTTTACTGAAGAAGTGTCGCTCAGCATTTTTATATTTACATCTACTGTGATGGTAGGCGATTATATAAATACAATGAAGACGACTTAAGATTTGAATTTTGAGGTGGTGTATTATTCTACATACACGTACATATCCGCCATACTTCACTTCTGACCTACGCCAAATCCGCTATACTACACATCCGACCTACTAGCACGTGGTATTACAGCTGCTATATGGACTTATGGCCGCAGCGCCCGGCCCCCTAGCCTGTCCTAGCCGCGGCGCTTGGCCCCTAGCCTGTCTTAACCGCAGCGCTCGGCCCAGAAATTGTCTTAACCTAACCTAACCCTCAAATAATACTAAAATAAACAGCTGGCGTAGGTCCGATATTGCAGTAGGTCGGAAAGTTAGTAGGTCAGAAGTTCAGTAGGGGGGATGTTGCGTATAGACGATGTAACATCACCAATTTTGATTTTAATCAAGCTGTTAAGCACATGATCACATGAACATGGAAGTCAAGAGAAACTGTCAATTCAAAAAGCTTTTCTTTGAATACTTATAAACTTGTAATTCGAAAAAAGTTTGTTAACAATTAACCCTTCAATAAAAAGGTCGTCTTCATTGTATTAATATAATCGCTTACAGCTGACATATCTCGAAATATATTCAGAAACTTTTGTGTGGAGTATCGTTAAACTTAATCGCTTGATATCGATATCCAATGTGGGAACTTTTTTGAGGATTATCGCTCGATTCTCTAATAAAAATTATCTATGCAGGATATGACCACCACGGAATATCAAAGAGGAATTAATATTTGATCTGCAAGTCTGCATCATTGCTTATAGATCCCAAGATTGACTTTCGCGACATTTCACAATTTCAAGAGAAAGACGACAATAAGAATTTTACTATTTTCTGGTTCTCAATGTAGAAATTTACCATATTTTTAAGATGATGGTTTACCTGAGTAAAATAGTTTTATTGTAAGATCTTAGAGATTTGATTTGACATCTTCCTCCTGAGAAAGGGGACCCAGCACACAAAATACGAAACTGAAAACAATACTTTAAAGGGATTGGAAGCGTAATTCCAAGTAACCCTCCATGGAAAGATGGCAATGTCCGATTTACAACGGTATACCCTAAAGAGCTTTGTCTGATTTACGAATTAGAGCACAAAATGCAAAACTTAAAATAATACTTTAAAATCTGTTTTTTTGATTTGTTCTCCCGACATCTTCATTGAGAACAAATTATGAATTCAGAATTGTGTTTTTTTCCTTAACTGCATATGAAATGTTAATTCCACTGCATTCCTAAATTCATTTTTTTAATTGTTCATTGTCTAAATTTTAATATACGATGCTAAATCTTTTTGTACTTCAAGCGTAAGGTAGAGAAATTTAAACCACTCATACTCAGAATTCATAAAAATAAAAGACAACTTCTTAAAGCTATTGTTGTGAATCAATTCTAATATTCAATATTGAGATAAATCAATAAAATTCTTTTCTTTTTTCTTACCATGCAAGCACTTGTTAGTCCATAGAAGCTGGGTCTCCAAACCATTCTGCAGAATAAAGAAGATTAGGAAAACTTTAGGAGAACTAGGAGAACTAGGAGATCTAGGAGAACTAGGAGAACTAGGAGAACTGGGAGAACTAGGAGAAATAGAAGAAATAGGAGAAATAAGAGAAATAGGTGAACTAGGAGTATTAGAAGAACTAGGAGAACTAGGAGAACTAGGAGAACTAGGAGAACAATAGAACTAGGAAAACTAGGAGAACTAGGAGAACAAGAGAATTAGGAAAACTAGGAGAATAAGGAGAACTAGGAGAACTAGGAGAACTAGGAGAACTAGGAGAACTGGGAGAACTAGGCGAACTAGGAGAACAATAGAACTATGAAAACTAGGAGAATAAGGAGAACTAGAAGAACTAGGAGAACTAGGATAATTAGAAGAACTAGGAGAACAACAGTTGTACTAGGAAAACTAGGAGAATTAGTGAGAACTGGGAGAACTAGGAGTACTAGGAGAACTAGGAGAACTAGGAGAACTAGGAGAACTAGGAGAACTAGGAGAACTAGGAGAACTAGAAGAATTAGGAGAATTAGTAGACCTAGAAGAATTAGGAGAATTAGTAGAACTAGAAGAATTAGGAGAATTGTCAATTAAGTTTTTACTAAACATGAGAAATACACTTAAAACATTTAAAACCTGGATTGGGGAAAGGTTTGAAGAAAGTAGAATGAATCATCTGCCGACTCTAAGCACAGATCATCTCCACAATTCTTTCCGTACACTACCTGTACAGTGTACAGTTTACACAGTTCAGAATAACGTTGTATGTACACTACCTGTACGGTGTTAGTACATACAGTTCTGAATGCTGTTGTATGTATACGGTAATTGTACACTTTTTGAAATGTAGGTGGGCGTCGACAATAATATGTTAGGTTGGCTAGTTGGTCAATTGGTTGGTTGGTCTGTTGGTTGGTTGGTCGGACTATTAGTCTCATAATCAACGACGCCCGCCTATTGTTTTACAACACTGTACATTACACAGTTTTCTGAATGATTCTACAGTTAGAACTAGAAAACTCTGGAATATGAAAGGACTTTAGGACTGAAGTTATACTATTTAATTGTGCAGTTTAGACAGGCCCATTTCGCTGAATAGGAAATTTTAAAGCTTTCAGTAAATCTATTAAATTAAATACACTTAACGATTGATTTAATGTCGTCCACCTATTACATAATTTTGTGGTTCTCACTGAGAGTGTCTAACATTAACTACTAATGCTCCAGTGTTTATTCTTACCTCTCCATATCCATTCCATCTTACTAAATGTCATTCCATTTATAAAAGAAATTAATCAGAATAACTTTTTTTTAATTTCACCCGAAAATGTATAAAATTCCTTTATTCTCTCTTATTATCTCAAGAATCGAAAATTTTAGACCATATTATGGAAAACTCATTATAATCATTATTAATATCATCTTTTCTCGTGCACAATTTTCTATTTTATTTGGAACCTTCTGCAGTACCTAAATATAGGAACAAAATCTAATTCATGTACAGTACAGTGGGAACCAGAAAACTCTGGAATAAGAAGACGACTTTAAGACTCAAGCTTTGGCTTTAGATAGTTCAATGAACATGCGACACAGCAATTGAGCAGTGTAAACAGATCCATTTAATTTAATAAATGATTCTAAAAATGTAAAAACTATTTGTTTTGTAACATCAAATAAACTTTAATTTAACTTTAATGTCTTCTTCCTAATCCAAATTTTTCTGGTTTTGACTGTGACTGTTGTGACTTTTTCAGGAAAATCCGCAGTGATTTTTTATCTGGAAGACGACTTTCCTGATGATTGATCTGTAATCCTGCCGTAACTGTGTCCTGTCAACATCCAACCTTTTCAAAACAAAGAAGATGTTTTTGGAGTTGTTTTTTAGACTTAAAATGAAACCCAATCTGCCTTTCTATGGGGTAATTTTAATTTTTAATTTTTCTTGTTTTCCTAATCAAGTATATTTATTGGAAGGATTTGTTTTTTTTTTGCTTTTTCTGATTCGTATTAAACATTTGATATTTCAAACTATAAATTCTGTTATAGATAAAGTAATGTAAGTTTGAAATATCAAAGGTTGTAAAGATTTAGGGATTAGTTGAGAGCGTAGATTTATATATATAATCAATTGTCAATACTCAGATAAACATCTTAAACTTTTAACCTGTTCTCATTCCTTGGCCTTCTCCATGATATTCAATCTTAGAATATTTTTTTATTAATTGTTTTTTTTAAAGGAATTAGAGCATTTCATTTAACAAACTTAACGAAATCTTTTTAAAATAACTAATATTATTTTAGAAATTACATAATGTGTAAATAAAATAATTTTGGTAGTTTTAATAATACGCAATAATATAATATTGTTTTTTTTTTTTAACAGAGAAGATGAAAATATTCTTTTTATATTTTACCTTGAATGTTTTATTTATGAATGTCTGCGTGTAATCTAAATAAAATTAATAAAATATTTATTTTTATTTGATAAAACTTTGTTTTAGTTTATTATACCTACATACTCTACTCCATCTAATATCATCCCTCCATCCCCCTTAACCATCAGACCTAATATAATATTTCAAGTTATTAAAAATATATAACAAACGAAATTTTTAAAGATTTTTAAAGCAAATTTTAAAAATGATTTACCTAATAATAAAGAGATAACGCTAGTAAATATCATACTTTTTGTTTTTTTTCTTCACATCTTCAAATAAAAAACTAGTCCACAAGAACCCATGTTTTCTTTTCAGTCGACTATAATAATAACAAAAACTAATTTGAACTTCTAGTGGAACTTTTAGTTGATATAAATTTCATATTTCGTCGTTGGAATTGTAAAGAAAACAGAGATAAACAGATTCGAGAAAAAATCAACAATCACTGTAAACTCTAATTTTCTAATCCCTAATTATATATCATGCCACCTGATATTTCAAACTTTAGATTCTGTTAAATCAAATCTTCAACGATTTAAACATAAAAAAAATGTCACAATCAAGTTGCAAAGATATCTTGATTATAAACTAAGAGTTTGCGACAAGTGTTCAGTTTGTTAATATTGTTAAACCTCGAGTGCTTATCGAATTGAACAATTCTTTACCAACAAATTTTTATTGGCAATTCTATATATTCGCAAATCAAAATAAGAGCACCCTAGGAAAACAAGAATTGAACAAAATGAAAAATATCTAGGTTCTAAAGACCTACGAAGAAAGCAAAAAATATTGGGGGAGAAACGGTTTAAATTTATTTTATGTGAACTCAACTTATAAGTTGTGAATATACAATATATCTTTATCCTTTTTCCACAGAACGTAAATATTTCACATGTAAAATACTATATATATATATATATATATATATATATATATATATATATTTATGTTTGACACTACATATTCATTTATCGAGCATTAAATGAAACGTTTAACTAAACTCTGAAATGCATACTGCATATATTACGTTTTAATTTGTATACATTGTAAAACATATTTTAAACATAATACATACGTATATTTGTTAATTACCGATGTCTACAGGATGTTCTAAAAACATTTTTTTCCTTACAAGTTAGAAGTTTTACTTAAGTTGAATACCATTGTGTTTAAATATATGAAACTTTTGTTTTTGCAATATTAAAAAAAGTTATTTTTATTTTTATTGATGACATATGTTTACTGTTTCCATACTTCCGGTAGTTTTAACTAATCTCGGTAATTATTAAATTTTTCAGATTTACTCCGTCCTATCATATCCTAACATATACTATACCTGTCCTGTACTATCCTGTCCTGTCCTATTCTGTCCTAACCCGACCAAAAATATTTTATGCCCGTTCTTTTCTGTCCTGTCATATTTACTAACCTGTTCTAAAACCTTCTAAGTTCTAACATGTTCTATCGATTCAGATTAGTCATTTTCTATGGAATGTATCCTGTTTCGGTAATCACTGTCATTTATGTCCTTTCGCTTTCTAATATCCTATTTCATATTATTCTTTCTTTCTATACTACAATCTTGTACACTATTTCACATTTTAAGATGAATAAAATACATTTTTGTCAAATATTTTTTTGATTTTGCTAATTTCATTTTTGTTGACTGAATTGCTTCACGGATTTTTATTATTATCAGCTGATGTCCTTGAAAGATTATCAGCTGCGTTAATTAAAATGGCGTCCAATTGTTTTTTTCTTTAGACAATGCCGCGATAATTATACTGAGCAAGAGGAATGGTATCAAGTTGCAAAATTCACATTAACGGGGGGAGGCAAAATTAAGATATTATGATTATCCTACTATATATTTTATACTAATTATGTTAATTAGGAATGACTGTATAGAATAAATTAACAAATTAGTTTTAAAGTCGTCTGGGCATGTCTGATTCACACCGCGTTAACCCTTTCAGAGGAAGTTTATGGGGGGGGGCGGGAAGAGACGCCCACCCTTCTAGAAAAATTAGGAGCGCAGAAAGCAGGCAAGGTTAGTCCTTAAATTTTGATTTTTAAGAATAGATTCATGCGCCATGTTTTCACTGAAAATGAAGATTTTTAATAAAAATCCAAATCTTGCTTTCCACTTTCACTATCCATCTTCCACCTCCCCCCCCCCCCCCAGCTAGGCATGGTTTTGACATAAAATAGACCAAATTTCCTGTAAAAAGTCCAAAAGGGGGGGGGGGGATTAATTTCCGAGATTAAAAAAGAAATTTCGTGCATGTGATTATTTAATAATTAACTTTGGAGTCAATCAAATTTCAATTACAAAATCTTTTTCAGTAAAATAAATGATCGTTTTTTCAAAAGTTTGTTCCAAAAATCGTTTGTTTAGAAAACAAACGCTCGTTTTTATCAAAATCTTTCAGAAAATGTTTGTTCAGTTAAAATCTTTTGTATTTTCAAGTTCGTTCTAACGATTTAAATCGTTAATTTTTGTTTTTTTATGTCTCTGAAGTATGATTCATTCATTTTTTTCCACCGCATTTTCTGCATTTTTCGCGTAAACAATTTTTCGCATTTGTCTGCATTTCGTTCGCTCGCGATAAATGCGAAAATTTGTTTACGCGAAATAGAAAATGACTCTATCTGTTTTGCGAAAAAATGCGCATTTCGCGAAAAAAAATATTGCGAAAATATATGCAATTTAAAATGAATGCGACAATTCATCAAAAAATACAAAATTTAGAGAATTGCAAAATGGGAACAAAAATTTTCCCGAAGCGATTCGTTCGCTGCAAACCCGTACTCTAAATTGTTTACTTTTATAAACAGGGTGTCTCAAAAAAAACTGTGCAGTAGGGGTATTAGTAACTGAGGAAACAATTTTCGTTCAATTTTTACGATCAAGGTGTCATTCGAAAGCTCTATATTTCAGTTATTTCATGGTGTGAAATTTTTCTTTCTAGGCCTCATCCTTTTTTTGTTACAACCAATTATTTGAGCGTAAGTCGAAAATCGATTTCCCGGATTTTTCAATTTTTCGATTTTTCACGTCTCATTTTTATTCGTTCATAAAGTATGGAAAAATTTAAAGATTTTTGAAATTTTTTTAGAAATCATAAGCTGTTAAACTTTGGATCAGCGATTATTACTTTTGGAGCTAGAGCAATCTAAAGAAAAAAATATGCATTGAAAAAAACGAAAAGAGAGCTACGGGTACCTCCGTACGAACCTTGCCCAGACCACAAAAATAATTTTTTTTGAAATCAGTTGGTACAATCCACAGCTCGCTATTTCAATTAACTTTTTTTATCTAACCCACCAGGGCAAATAGGTTGTCAAGTACAATAGATGGCAACAGAAAAATCGACCAACTGCGCACAACGTCATATGTGTCAAATGAAAAAAGAAAGACGACATGTCCTCTAATTAGTTGGTATAATTTCCAAGATTCGGTGAAGATAAATGTCGTCTTTGTAGGAATACGTAAAAATACATGTTGTCTCACAAAACACTTTGCAGATCCAACATTTTGGCTGCAACAGATAACTTACATAAAATGTACGAAAATTTGTGAATTTTTTGGTTATTTATGAACAAATGAATATATGTAAAAAATCAAAAGTTGAAAAATCTGGGAAATCGATTTTTTCGGCTCCTGCTCCATAATTAAAGAAGTGATTGTAATATAAAATGAATGCCTGGAAATAACTGAAATATCGAGATTTCTAATGTTAACATGATTGTGAACATTTAATCAAAATTTTTGCCTCAGTACCCAATACCCCTACTCCAAATTTTTGTTTGGGACACCCTGTTTATAATATATATCTACATAGACTTTCCAATAATTTCATAATTAAAGCACTTTTGAAAATTTTTATATATTTCGTACGTGTTCCCAAAAATAGTAAAATACGACATTTGAGAAAAAAAATTAAATATCCTTAGAAGACGACATTTCATTAGAAAATTGCCGTTTCTTGTTGCCTGTATTTCCCCTGGATCTGGGGGTTTATCCTCGATTAGACCTTTCCAGAGCACTTCTCCAAAGATATCATTAAACATTTCTGAAATGTGTTTTTACTTTATACTTTCTAATTACAATGTTAAAGGGTTATGTACAAAATCAGTTTCAACCCCGTCATTAAATCTATAGAACGTTAAATGAAAAAGTGTAAAAACAGAAATAAAGAACACATAAAATTGCACTAATTTCACTAAAAGATAAGCTCTTTAGTCTAAAAATATCACTTTTATTTATAGTTTTGTCATACAGAAAATTTGAGTTGACACTTATGACGTTTAAACAGCTGTACTGAAAGTGTACGCATTCTGTGTTGCCGTCTATTGTACTTGACAACCTATTTGCACCAGGGTACAAAAATAAAACATTTTTTGTGAATCTGAAATTACAAAAAAAAACTTTAAAAAAGTCATCACTTTAATTAATAATATTGTTACTTTAGATATGATGTTCACGCTTTCATTTGTTATTAGTCCATTTATATGATAGGTTCAAGGTAATGGTAGTTAAATAGGCCAAAAATGTTGTAAGATTTTTTCAGGGGCCTTCTAAGAGACTGTTCACGCAAAAAAAGAACACATTCTCAAATGTAAACTTATCTCTTAGAGAGCACAAGCCGTCCAAGGTATCGTTTTATAGGTAAAAGCATATGCATGTTTCAACAATGATATTCCTTTTTTTCTAAGGCCTAGACATATACATTTCAAAAATGCTACGAGTCTGTTTCTAGCTTCAGCTAAAAAGGAGAAGTTGGCAGAATACTTATCGACTTTTATGTGAGAGCATGCATCAGAGTTTTAGGCAAGTAATCAGTTCCCTAGTAAGCATTGCAATTATATGACAAACAGTGTGATCTCATAAAAACTTAATTTATACAGTTTCTGTTTACACCTTTAATCAACCTTTCAATAATTTATTTCGCAAAATTGCGCAAAAGCGGAATAGCTCAGCGAAAGCAATAATTTCGCCTTTTTTCGAAAAAGATGTGCGTATGGAACGAATGGCAACCCTAGGATTAATCAAATTCCTCTTCGAAAAATAAGCTAACCTCTAGTTGGACATTACCAAGGTGGGGCGATGGGAATTCCGCAGTAACAAATTTGTAAACACAACACAGATGATAAATAAACATGACAGTAGATGTAAATACAAGATTGGAGATGACCACACCTTGATGTGTAACTGGGGTACTTGTAATGGGTGATGAACGAATAACTTTGTATTTGTGAAAAACTGCTTCTAGTCTTTACTGGCTACTTATTTGGTGGAATAAGTCTTTTTACACTGCACTCATTAGCGTAGGGCAATTTTAAATCTGAAGTCAAACATGAATCAAATTATTCTTTTTAGCCTTTACCCTCACGAAATATTTACTTTCATTTTTAGCTCGTGTAACAAAAACGGTTAACCAACAACCAAATAAACTAAGTTTGAAACAAAATGATCTCATCTTACTCAGTGGTGACAATGGATCTGTTAACTACACTGAAGCTGTAGCCGATCATTGCAAGCTTACGTATACAATCTATAACTACTCCTTTAAAAAATTCGCAACTCTTAATTCTAGCCGTAACTAATTCTATAAACTTTAATATCCAATAATCCCTAGTGACTCAAATATTTTTAAGAATTTAATTTTCTTCCGCTAATTAAAATGAAAGTATCGATTCCGTTATGTTTTTAAAATTGTGCAAGAGGAAATTATAATTTCAGTCTTATTGTTTATAAATCTGAATTTACATAAAATATATATAGAAGTCTAATTGAATTATCACAATTATTCTAAGCGTATACGTTTACTGAACATAATTGACAAGTATTCAGTTTAAATAGACAGATTTTAAGTAGTCCCCAGATGCTCTTTAAAAGTCAAAATCGTCGTCTGTATTCTTGTTTGCTGGTTTATTCTGGTTTTTGATCTGATCTTGATTGTTATACATCTCTGCTATCTGTTCTGAACTAGTGGCATCCTCAGTATTCTTATCCTCGCGGATACGGATAAACCTGAAAATAAAATTAAATGAAGGGCATGTAAGCGTTATTTTCAAGTGACCTCCATGCAAGTATGGCAATACCCGATTCACAACAGTACTATCAAAAGCTTTATCTAACCAAGTATAAATAGTTATCAATGTATTTGATTCTAAAACTGTTTTCCATTTGCAGATTTTCAGAAAAAGTGACTGTAAATTTCTTGCTTACAAGCAATGGAAAAATTAACTGAATTTTACACGTATTGAGTCAGAAAATAGCGTTTTTTTTATTAAGGTTTTGACTTTTCTGGGTAATGTTGAAACCAGTGCTTAGGATCCATTTAATTTCGATGCGGATCCGGATCCTGGATCCGCACTGGAAAAAATGGATCCGGATTCGGATCCAGGTCATAACTTTAGATTTACTGATTTTTTTTAAACAAAAAATAATTTCCAAATTTTTTGTTTTCTTTTTTTCCCTTATTTATATCCAAAAACTTGATGATTTTTATAATCTCTCTTTTATCTATGTTCAGATTTGGGTTTCAGGAGTAAAAAAGATTTATTGCCGTTTTTGGTTGATATTTTACCCTTGGATCCGGATTAGTGGATCCGCATATTTTTGCGGATCCAGATCCAGGGAGCCTAAATCTTGCGGATCCAACGGATCCGAATCCTAAGCACTGGTTGAAACTTGGACATTGCTATCTTTCCATTGAGGGTCACTTTGAAGATAATATCCCCCATATTCAGTAATGTTTTTAAGTAAACCTTAGCCAAAAAAAAAACTTTTCCAAAATTTAATTCACGTCGAAATAAAGATTTTATTATTGTTTTCTATCATGTTACATTCGACCAATTCCTGCAAATTATCTTTTATTACCAATCCTTTCTACCAGTTATCTTGAACAGAATAAAAAAGTTCATATGGGCGTACTTTGGGGGATAGCAGATAGACATAGACATAATATCTTTAAAATTAACATAAACTTCAGAACTTCCAGGAGAACATTAATTTTACTTTTTATAGTTGAAGAGGGGTATACATTTTCATGAATTATTCCCACAGGATCGGAGAGGAAAACGAATAACCGGGACATCATAAGGCATTTTTTTTTTACTTTTTATCCAATATTTCTCCCCTTAAGCTTATAAATTTAATTAATTTTTCCGAATTAAGAGAATAAAACCCTGAAGTGCAACATTTCTAGCTTCTAGGATTATCTAAAAAAGGGGGGGGATATTTCAAGGAAATACACACCCCCGCTGTCAAAATAGATAAATAATTTGGTAATTACCTCGGGAATCTTAAACTCACTCCTTTCCCAGGATCAACTAACCCCAGTGCTGCTTTATGAACAGGAGATACAGATATATCAGCACACTTCACCTCCCAGACTTGAACGGGTTCAAACCAATGGTCCGGGGCATGAACAGGATCAAAGGAATAATACCCTTTGGGTTTATCGATCACGTGATCTTTGAAGAAAGCAGCATGCCTGAAAATAAAAAAGAATATTATTTTGATTAGTTCAGACCAGCGTTAAGGATCCGGATCCTTTGGATCCGTAAGATTTTGGCTTCCTGGATCCGGATCCCCAAAACCCAAAACTGCTAAAAAATGATAAATTTTACTCTCAAACCCCAAATCTGAACTATTGAAAACCGAGAACTTGTAAAAATTTCCTGACTTCTGAATAATTCATCAAGTTTTAGCATTAAAATGAGCGAAATAAAGACAAAAATGCAAAAAATCAATTAATAACTTGGATCCGGATCTGGATCAATTTATATCCAGTGGTGGATTCACGATCCGGATCCGCATAAAAATGAAATGAATCCTAAGACTGGTTCAGAAAGTATATACGAATTCTTAGTTTTCAAAGCATTAACCAAATTTTATAATAAGGGGGCAATGAAAAGAAACGTTTGAATCCTAAGAATACGTGGGTACATAAACACAAGAGGACAATGAACCAAAAGAGATATCCAAACACAAGAGAACAATGAACCCCAGGGATAAGAGGACAATGAACCTAAGAGATAAACACAAGAGGACAATGAACCCCAGGGATAAATAAACACAAGAGGACAATGAACCGAAGGGATAAATAAACACAAGAGGACAATGAACCAAAGGGATAAATAAACACAAGAGGACAATGAACCCAAGGGATAAATAAACACAAAAGAACAATGAACCCAAGGGATAAATAAACACAAGAGGACAATGATCCTAAGGGATAAATAAACACAAGAGGAAATGAACCCAAGGGATAAATAAACACAAAAGGACAATGAACTCAAGGGATACATGAACACAAGAGGACAATGAACCCAAGGGATAAATAAAAAAGAGGACAATGAACACAAGGGATAAATTAACACAAGAAGACAATGAACCTAAGGGACGAATAAACACAAGAGGACAATGCACCCAAGGGTTAAATAAACACCAGAGGACAATGAACCCAAGGGATAAATAAACACTAAAGGACAATGAACCCAAGGGATAAATAAACACAAGAGGACAATGAACCCAAGGGATAAATAAACACAAGAGGACAATGAACCCAAGGGATAAATAAAAAGAGGACAATGAACCCAAGGGATAAATAAACACAAACGGACAATGAACCCAAGGGATAAATAAACACAAAAGGACAATGAACCCAAGGGATAAATAAACACAAGAGGACAATGAACCTCAGGGATAAATAAACACAAGAGGAAATGAACCCAAGGGATAAATAAACACAAAAGGACAATGAACCCAAGGGATAAATAAACACGGACAATGAACCCAGGGGATACATGAACACAAGGGGACAATGAACCCAAGGGATACATGAACACAAGAGGACAATGAACCCAAGAGAAAAATAAACACAAGAGGACAATGAACCCAAGGGAAAAATAAACACATGAGGACAAAGCACCCAAGGGATAAATATACACAAGAGGACAATGAACCCAAGGGATACATGACCACGAGAACATGAACCAATGGGATACATACACTAGAGGACAATGAACACAAGGGATCAATGAACCCGTTAACCCAAGGGATAATAAACACAAGAGAACATGAACCAATAGGATACATAGACACTAGAGGACAATGAACACAAGGGATCAATGAACCCGTTAACCAAAGGGATACACAAGAGGACAACGAACCTAAGGGATTAACACAAGAGGACAATAAACCTAAGGTGTACATGAACATAAGGGATCAATAAACCCATAAACCCAAGGGATACATGAAGATTGATAAAAAAATTTAAATACTTACTTGGTTAAATCTTCATCCGTGAACCCTGTTCCGATCTTACAAATAGTTTGATATTCTTCATTCTCAGCATCATAGCAAGCTAACAGGAACCCTCCATACCTTAATATAGTTTATAAAATATAAAGCAAAATTCATTTCTTTCACTTATGATTTAAACTTATGTATTTTTAAGTATTTAAAAACAAGGAAATGATTCTTTTCTGAAAAACTAAATATCAATATCATAGGATGAAATGCAAAATCTTCAAGACAAAATGCATTAATGCAAAGTAGGGATCCTTCCCATTTAAGAGTGACCATTCCGATTTCCAATGGTACACCGGTACCTAAAATAAGCTGCGCCTGAACATAAATATGAGATATCCATTTTCAACATTGAAAATTAGTCGTTTCAGTTCTGGTCTGTGTAGAATACAACTAGTAGATTTATACAACAATAATAACGAAATCAACAATTCAATTAGAAAGCCCGACGTTTTCTTCCTCATTGATTAAATGAAGAATTAGATAATACGGTCGTTTTTCGAAAATGGTTTTTATTAATTGAGGGCCACTTAAAAAAAAAAAAAATCGATTTCCTTGTTTTTTGTTACTTAAATTGGTCAGTCGCACGGTACTTGAAATCTTAGGGAGCCCCGCACTCAACTAGGTAATCTCTAGGCTCAGCCTTGCGACATCATCCTAGAGCACCTAGCCTCGCGCAGTCCCCTCATGGAGACAATGAATCATCATGGTTATGAGATAAAAACCAACAATAACTGGTAAAGAGGAAATGATTAAATAATTATAAGGACTGTACGCGTGATGAGTGACTTGTGAATTTCTTGCTTATCAACAATTTCAGAGAAATAAACTACTTTATTTTCCACATTGATGATCAGATTTAAGTTACAAGGGTGACGTAGAAATCTGTTGACTTTGAAATACCCTTACACACTACACAGTCCCTTCAACTCGAATTCTTCCTTTATTGTTGGTTTTATAAAATTTCGTCAAATAAATAAACTAACTTACCCTCCAGTTCGCTTCCCCTTTCCTTGATATCCTCCGATGACGACAAGGTCCATGGTGTCCCCTACACCGTCCAGATAGTCTTTCTTTAACTTCAACCAGTTGTGTGACCGACGCGCTATCTCGTATGTTGCCTCGCGGTCCAAGGTCTTAACCATTAATCCCTCACAGTTGTCTAAATAGCAAGTTAAATTAAAAATGTAGTTTAATATTAATTTTGTTGAAAGTATAGATACATTTTCAGAAAAGTTACCTGTGTTAAGACGATAGGATCTGCATCGGTCCGGTGAGTGTCAAGTTTAGTCGGCACAATATCAGCTGACGAAACCAGACTCACCGACCCGACACAGACAAAAGTAGATTCACTAAATATAGCTTAGTAGGGCTACCCTGGTATGGTTGGCAGATTTTCTTCTTTATTTAATTGCGGGTTTTCTTTCAGGATTCATCTTGAGGATTTCTTCTTGTTGTGATGATAAGTCTGCATCTGCTAAGGTAACTCTGGCTGTGATACAGATTGATACAATGCATCACAGCTCAGAGGACCCGAGCAGACACAAATACATGATGCAGCTGGATCTTGTTGATTAACTACCAACGATGTAAGAAAATATAATTCTGTCATGTTAGCAGTTGGTGTCAGCAAATACGTTTCAGTAGAAATTTTAAAAATAATATTTTCTCGTTAATAAGGTTTGAATTCTGTGTTAAATGTTCCAATGTGTTATCAGCGTCGTGTAGCTGGGTATACCGGTGTAAGCTGAATACTCTGGTGCTATGGTTGAACACAGCACCATAGTATGCTGCTAACACAAGTACAGGGTTAGTTTAAGCACACACTTCGGGTTAATATATCATAAATAATACCTAGGACCGAATTTAATGAATTTGAGCTAGGTCGCTGAACTACAAACCGCCGTAAATTTTGCATCTGTAGTACAAAAAATCTTCCGAGTTGAACCGTCTCTACTCCTAGCTCAAATTCATTAAATCCGGTCACGGTTAGGTTTACAAAATAGTGAAAATAATTAACTATGGTATGGTGTCAAACAAGTTAAGTTTACTTGATAAATTAAAATGGATAAAATACCATTAATCCCGGTTAGTCATTGTCTTAATAATAAAAATTAACATGTCACAAACAAATTTTAAAATTAAATTAGGATTATTAGCGCCTTGAAAGAAAACTTGATAAATTTTCTCACTACTGCATAGGACCCGGATTCGTTTGATCCGCAAAAATATGCAGATCCACGGATCCGGTTCCAAGATGCAAAATATCAACCAAAAACTGCAAAAAAAATACTTTTATACGATTAAAACCCAAATCAAAACTAAAAAACAAAAGTGAGATAATAAAAATTATCTGGTTTCCGAATGGTTCATCAAGTTTTAAGATAATATGCGAAAAAAATGAGACAAAAATATGAAAATTTTGCGTTGGTAAAAAAATTCAGCAATCTTAAAGAGAAGACCTGGATCCGGATCCAGTTTTTCAGTCCGGATCTAGGATCCGGATCCGCATCAGATTTAAATGGATTCTAAGCACTGTTTCTAAATACACAAAAAAACAAAACATAACTTCACCCATAAACAAACTCAACGGTAACATGATTTCAAAACTAGCATGCACAGATATTTTACTTAAAACCTTGGAAAAGATTTAACCAGTGCGTAGGATCCGGATCCGTAAGATTTTGGCTTCCTGGATCCGGATCCGCAAAAAAAGCGGATCCACGGATCCGGATCCAAGGGGTAAAATATCAAGCAAAAACTGCAAAAAAAACATTTTTTTACTCCTAAAACCCAAATCTGAACTTATGAAAAAAAGAGATTATAAAAATTTCCTCATTTCTGAATGGTTCAAGTTTTGGAATAAAAATAAAACAAAAAATCGGAAAATTATTTTTTGTTATAAAAATTCAGTAAATGTTAAAGAAATGACCTGGATCCAGTGCGGATCCAGGATCCGCATCAAAGTTAGATGGATCCTAAGCACTGGATTTAACCCATGAAAAAGTAGAGAATGAAGAATATTTCTTTCAAATAGGCGGTATTCAAGTTCCTATTTATCTGTTCTTCTCCATTCTCTATGTAAAGTTACAAAATACAATTATTTTTTTTCTGAGTTAACTATATAACATTGGATTGTGTTAATCCTAGAAAGATCAGACACCATTAGTGAATTTTCAAATATTAAAATCTAATGGGATGTTGTTCAAATTGTATATTCGACTCCTTACCTTTAATAGAGTCCTCTAGTGCGACCTGTATCTCCTCTGTAGTGGTTCCATCTACACCCTGAGCAAACTGGAATTCTCCAGCAATCTCTTGAAACTTGTTCCGGAGCAGATCTCTCCGCTCCTGGAAAGGTTTCCGAACCAAGGCCTCTCCATTGAGGTAGAGCAGATCAAATCCGAAGAGGCAAACTTGAACCTTAATCTCGGACTCGACAGCATCCTTTCTTTTCCGTGTAGACAACACCTAAAAGAAAAATAAAATGTAATGCGGTTCATTACATATATTATTAATGAAATGACAACATAGAATTCAATGTACAGGAACGAAAGGACAGATAAGATTTGTTCGAAGCTTTAATTCAAGAAAAAACCATAACCAATACACAAACGATTTTCTAGGCAACATTACTTTTATAAAAAAAAATTGTTTTTGCATTTCTGTCCTTTCTTCAAGGAGTCAAATTGAAAATTTCTTTTGTACAATAAATCATTTTAGGAGCGGTATACATTACCAGGTTGCAAGGATAGATATCAATATAATTTTGAAGTACTCAAAAATTTGATGGGAGGCTTACTTGAGAAAGTTTGATAACAAGCTAACCAGGAAAATTTGACAAAAGCTAACCAGGAATTTTTTTTAAAAAGCTAACCTTAAAGTTTTAAAAAGAAAGTTGACCTGGAAAATATTTTAAAAGCTAACCTGGAAAATTTGATAAAAAAGCTATCCTGCAAAATATTATAAAAGCTAAGCTGGAAAATTTGATAAAAAGCTTACATTGAAAATTTCATAAAAAAGCTGACCTGCAAAATAATATTTTAACTATTCTGCAAAATATTATGAAAACTAACCTTCAAAAAATTATAAAAGCTATCCTGCAAAAAGGCTAACCTGGAATAATTGATAAAAAGCTAACCTGGAAAATATTATAAAAGCTAACCTGGAAAATATTATAAAAGCTAACCTGGAAAATATTATAAAAGCTAAAAGCTAACCTGGAAAATATTATAAAAGCTAACCTGGAAAATATTATAAAAGCTAACCTGGAAAATATTATAAAAGCTGACCTGGAAAATATTATAAAAGCTAACCTGCAAAATATTAAAAAATCTAACCTGGAAAATTTGATAAAAACCAACAAAGAAAATTTTATAACAAAAAACTATCCTGCAAAATATTATAAAGCTAACCTGGAAAATATTATAAAAATCTAACCTGGAAAGGTTGAATTTGTTTTTTCTCTCTATCCCAAGCAACAGCTTCACAATCAACCACAGCAGATTTCACTTCCGGTGTGAGACAAGCCTGAAATCTCTTGATAATATCCGGATACTTGGTTGTATTATCCTCCTGATTCCTACTGAAGATCTTGATATCACCGTTCTCCAGGAGATGGATCTGAGCCCGCTCTCCATCATACTTCCATTCACAAGTAAACTTACAGTTCTCAAACCTAGTTAGAACCTCTTGTACTCCCTTGGATGGACATGCAAGCATAGGTTTCAGGGGTATACCTGGAGTCAGCTTACACTTCGCACTCACACCATCAATACCGGATTCTAGTAGAGCAGGGATAACTAGATCGTAGGTTGGACATTCACAATAAGCAGTTTTTAATTTCAATGCCTCTGAAGCCAGCTTTTCTTTAAATGAGTCGGATTCAGCAGATTTGAATGCTGTGTGGACAGATGGAGGGTAAACCTGTCCTATTGGTGTTTGAACACAAGCTTGAGCTAATGCTTGGAGTACACTCTGTTCAGCTAATCCTATTCTCAGTTTACCCGCCAGAGATCTGACCAGGAACCTTGACTCACTACCCCGACAGGCCACCAGCAGGGACTGGATCTTATCAACCTTCTTCGAGGAGCTGGAGTTCCCACTCTTCTCAGCAATCTCACGTAGACGGGTGAACACACCACTAACCGTCAATGGAGCAGGCTAAACAGAAAAATTATTGATTTTCACAAAATTATCTATTAGCAGAATAGTAAGAGTTGAGTTTTTAATTTTTAAAAGAGCATAAGGCTAGCGAATATAACGCTTGTTTATCATTCAGTTTTTACCCAGTATCAACAATTTTCGAAAGAATGTTAAAATATAAAAATATTGCTTCTAATTGTACTAATTACCTGGAACATAGTTCTTTGACTGCTCTTACTGGATTCAGCAACTTTACCCATATCCCCTACTTTAACAAACTCGGCTTTGATTTGCGCCGTTGATCTACCGGTGGTGTTAGCGATAGCTTTCATCAGTTGGAACTCTCCTACTCCTAGCTCTATACCCTCCCAGGCCGGGGCTAAACGGTTTAAGATCATGTAGATAGAGGGCAGTAGATCCTCAGGGGTCTGCACCATCACAGAGCGGAGATAATTTGAGAGCATTTCAATTGTGCGGAGTCGACCAGATGTTTCCTCTATGGCAAGTAGAGTGTTAGCTAGAGCTAAGTACGGAGTTTTCTCTCCTCGACCCCAGAAACAATCTTCGATTGGATGGTACTGAGTCTTCTTTACCTTCTTATCATAATCCATACCGTCACCTTTCTTGCCAGCTACACTTGGTTTAGGACTGAAGAATCCTTGGAATGGATTTTTAGGTTTTGGAGTAGATTGGGTTCCTGAGGTGGAGGGAACTGGAGATGATTCGGAGATCTTAGTTTTAGAACACTTTTCCGGGGATTTTTCCGATTTGATAGCTTTCGGGGATTTTACAGGAGATTTATTGGCGGATTTTGAGACCCTTTCGGGTGATTTCTTAGTGGAAGTTTTGCTTTTGTCGAAGATAGAAAATTTCTTCTCTATGGATTCAGGTTTTGGTTTAGTAGTTTCGGGAGAAGGTTTGTTTTCAGTTTCATCTTCGGAATCGCTGAGAATTCGGTTTCTTTTAGATTTAACTTTGACCGGGGAGTCATCACATTCCATAGGTTGGGGAGAGGAGGAGGTAGATTCGGTATCAGGTTTATATTCTTCAGTGGGAGGAGATATCAAGTGGCGGGGGGACTCATCATCTTTATCCGACCTAGCTGGGGATTTAATATTTTTCTGTGGAGAGGATTTGGTCTTAGAAGAACTATTACCTTTACTTTTCTTATCTTCTGTGATAGGTTTGGATTTGGGAGATCTTTTCTTATCTTCCTTCGTAGGCTTGGATTCAGGAGAACTTTTCTCATCTTCCTTGGTAGACTTGGATTCAGGAGAACTTTTCTTAGATTTAACTTCTTTTCCTTTCGTAGAGGTTGGACTAGGTTCGGGTTTCATCTTCTTCATCTTCTCCTCCTGCAATTGTTCCGCATCAGACTTCCGTTTAAATGACTTCCGGGCTAAAATATACAGAATATTGTTGGGAACTATGCTAGTGTCTACCTTAATTTTCATTTATCTGAATTTGAGTAGTAACAAAATAAACTAGTAAAAAAATAACATTTCATTTTCATCCCTCCTCAAAAGAAAAATTATCGTAAAAAGTAAAAAACAAAATCTTATCAGAATATTAATTTGGCAGTGTATTTAATTAAAACTTGCGTAAAAAACATGTCTCGGAAATGTTTGACTGGAGATTGTATTATGAAACGACATACCGGTTTTCCTGTATGGAATTTGTAGACTGAGATCTGTGTCTTTCTCTCCATCCTCTTGGGCTCCAGTCCCCACAAGTGCAGACTCCTCGGCTCCAGCCTCCACTGGTGCAGACTCCTTACCTCCATTCTCTTGCCTTGAGCTAAAAGTGGAAGGTTTTGAAGGTTCAATGTTGGAAGAGTTAGGAATATTTTCCTTAGTTTCAATATTTTCATCATCTTCCACAGCTTTCCTATAATTATAAATAATGTTGCAGCAATTTGTGATGAACTGTTCATTAGGAGATAGACATGTCAGATTCACATACCGTTGTTATTTGGGCGTCCCATATTTAAATAGTGGGTCACTTAAAATTAACACGACATTCTCTGAAAGAAAGAATTACAGTAAATTGCTAACCCCCNCCCCCCCGGTTTATTTTAACCATATCTTAAGCTGAAAATATATCGACGCTTTTTTTAGATGATAAAACATATAATTGTACAGGGGAACCCCTCTACTACCCTCTTATGAATTTATAGTACACTTTACGGACCAGGAAAGTACCGTTTGATCTGAAAATTATGAATTTCAGACTTGAGGCGTTTACCGTCATACAGAACATTTGTTTTAAAATCTCTGATAGAAATTACCATTGATACACCAAACACGTTTCGATTTAAAAATATTATCATTTAAGGTTTAATGTTGCAACAAAATAAAACACTTTATGATAAGCCCCTCCCACCATAACTATAAACTCACTTTTGTTTCAAGTCTTCAGATTTAGGGCTAGAAGTCTGAGGCTTGGCAGCAAAAAACGACCTGAAAACAAACTTTACGAGTAAATGATAAAACAATGGATTACTATAAAATAATAACAAATTAAACATTTGAAAACTGAAAATCTAACCTTATTGATCGTTGTGCCATGTTCGCGCGTGAAACTAGTAATAATGGATGGCTTCTGGAAGTTTTAGCTTTTGTTTCCCGATTTTCTTGGTTTAAACAAAGACCGCTAGGAAAGAGTACGCGCCATATTTCTCATGATTTAGTCGGGCTTATAAAAGCTACATAGAAAGCTGCTATAAATACAATAGAGCCATCTAACGGTAGATAGTGACAACAAACACCGGTTCCCGGCTTCTCAGATTAAACGACGACATTTAGGAAAGTTGTTGAAATGAAAGAAAGACGGACAGTTTTTTTGGGAATGTTACTTCTGTCCTATAGCATTTCCGTCCTACGATTCTCCGGACCTACGACAGCTGTTGGTCGGATGTACATTCTATTTTGTTAATCCGACCTACGCAGGAACATGTAGATGTTACGTCAGATGTATGTTAATTGACAGTTCTTCCAGAATGATAGATTTTCCGGTTACACACAAATTTAAGTAGGTCAGATGCACAGTTTTGTAGATCGAATGCACAGATTTTTTAGGTCGGATGAACAACCTTAGAAGGACGGGTACAAAACTTAGGTCGGACGCCCAACTTAATTTAGTAGGTCGGATGCACAGTAAGTCGTATGCACAACTTTAGTAGGCCATTTGCACAACTTCTTATCTATTGCTGTAATGATTTTGATTTAATCAGAAACATTATCGAATACTTTTCCAAGCGTAGTTGCAGACTTTTCATCTTTAAATTAAAAATGCGAACTTGAACAGAACTGCAATAGGTAAATAAGAGTTTATTTGCAAACTTTTTATCTGTATGAAGAACAATAAAAGCAAAAAAATATGAAATCTGATAACCGGAAATCGTATTATGTTTAAAAAACGAAAAAAAAACGAAAAATAACAAAAAGGGAGACTTTTCATCACAACTTTAGTAGGTCGGATGCACAACTTTAGTGGGTCGGATGCACGACTTTAGTAGGTCGGATGCATAACTTTAGTAGGTCGGATGCACAACTTTAGTAGGTCGGATGCACGACTTTAGTAGGTCGGATACACGACTTTAGTAGGTCGGATGCGCAACTTTAGTAGGTCGGATGTTTAACCGGAAAATTGATCTTCAATAAACATATAAATTTTTGAAAGGTATGTTCTTTCGAATAATGTGGCAGGTTTTTAAAAGATGGCAATTTCAACGCTTAAGTGTGGTTGTGGCTCATGGCTGGCGGAAGACAAAAAAGATAATATGTGGCATGGAAGGAGAAAATGTTGTTGGCTTATGGCCGCCTGTCTTCTTTGCTCGTCTAATCCTCCAAGATATAACATTGTTAGGGCATAAAGAAAATAAAAAAATTTTGTAAATCGAAAAAAATTGTTTCAATTGAATTAAAGTTTTCGAGTTCCATGTCCTTAAAAATGCTCACCTTTTTTTACGCGCATATATTTCTTGTGTAGAATGCCGTAAATAATTCCGAGTTTATAGAACTTTAACATTTTTTTTTGATTATTTGATCATTTTTTTATGATTAGAGGTATGCCAAATATTTTGCTATTTATTTTATATCGCGAAGGTTAGCTATTACGAAGGCAGGATCGAGATATTAGAGTTTTACCTAAATAACGTTTGACATTCCAATTTCCAACATCATGAAATCGTTGCAATTCTTTAGTCCATCCATATTTCATGCCATAACGGGGCCAGATTAAAAAAAAATTCATTTTTTCTTCAAGATTTAGAACTTTAAAACACATAATAATCTAAGGACGAGGATTTCGAGGTGGCTTGGACAAGAAAATGAGGAAAATATGTGGCTCGGACGAGAAATTGTTGTGAAATTTGACATATATTTGGATAAAATATCTACATTTGGTAAAATATTATATATATGGATAATATATAGTATATTTGGATAAAATATAATACATTTGGATAAAATATAATATAAAATATATATATATACACATTTATACATAAACATAAACATAAACATAAACATAAACATAAACATAAACATAAACATAAACATAAACATAAACATAAACATAAACATAAACATAAACATAAACATAAACATAAACATAAACATAAACATAAACATAAACATAAACATAAAAATAAACATAAACATAAATAATAGAAATAAACATCAGCATTAACATTTAAAAAAGAAAATATGCAAAAATACAAAGTAAAAGTAAAAACACAGCCAGCTAGACATGAAAAGTTAGCACATGCATAATTAAAAATGTTAGATATTAATATTCACATAAAAAAGGAGCATAATTTTTATATGAAAAGAAAACAATAAGTCCGGGTCAGGTTTATAATTTAACTTGATGGATAGGGGGTGATATTATTAGGGACTATAGCGTAGAGGGGGGGTGGGGTATGATGGATTAAAAGAGGCATATCATGAGAAAAAGCTCCCCTAGAAATCTTTAATGGATTCAGATGCAAATTTTAACCTTACAAATACACATGTCACATGTCAACTTAAAAAACTTCTGCATTTAGAATCCATAAAAAATTCATATTTAAACACAAAATTTTATATAAATAACTTGTAGTAAGTACGTATTTATTTTAAAACATTATTTTGATAATTTTTTTGTTTTACTTATGGCCTCTATGACCTTTACATTAACCAAGTATCAATAAAATATTTTCTATCTTTCTCCCCACCCCCCTCTTCTACCACCCCTATACCTATTTATCTACCTATCTATCTAAATATCTAAATCAAAACAACACACGCAAAAAGAGAGAACTGAATAAAATAATTTTCAAACAGTTTCCTTTAGTTGTATATATTCAAAAAAGCCTGACAAGGATGGATTTCAAACTGTACAGCGCAGGATGAATTAATTAATGATTATTTCGCGGGTTTTATAGATTGTCCAAGTCAGGATCGAGCTAGTTCGTAACTATTACAAGAACAGATGATTTAAAGCAAACTACATTGATGTACATACTGTTTTTATAGGAATATTTTCATAGCTCATTCAAAACCCGTCAAAAATAGCGTATGAGACTTTGAATACTAAATATTTAAATCAAACATTTTTTTTAGAAAAGTAAAAATAGCAAATATAAAAAATATACATTTATCAGGTAAAAATATACATTTATCAGGTAAAAATATACATTTATCAGGTAAAAATGAGTTTTAAGATTAAGTATCAATAACCTTTTTTAACCAGGACCTCTTATTTACACTGAGAGGGTGATTCTTTTGTATTGGATAGCGCTTAGCCTCAGTGATTGATCTTAGTCTCTTGCACGAACTTGCGAATTAAAAAGCATCCAACGTCTAAAGGTTGAATCGTCTGAGGGTTAAAGGCAGGAATGTATAATTCAAAAGTTTTTTCCTCCGAACAAATTTTAAACTATTTACTGCGCACTAGATAGAAGGAGAAGGTTGAATGTTTGCAACTATACTACTATGAATTTGTGACCTCGTAGCTCCACTAGTTTTCATTTTACACCAAGTAGGAAAAAAGCAAAAATTTATCCGGTTACATATATGTATATATATACTATAGTAGAAATAATAATATTTTAGTTGATCTTATATAGCTCTTCAATAAGAGGGGTTCTGATGGAAAACAAATAATATTTCAATCCTACACCTGCAATTTACTCTAGTTTAACGTGAACTGCAGAGTTAAACTCGTTTATTTTGGGCGAACCTTCATTTTTTTCAGGAGAGATTTTTAATCATGATCATTGATCATTGAGTTTATCTTTAGCTACTATCGATGGATTTAAAATAGTAAAAAAGATCCGCGGCAATCTTGTTAATCGGTACATGAGAAATTAAGAAAATCTGCAAAATTGTATTTAGTCGTTTTGCATTTTTAGTTCTGCTTAAGCAAAGGTTTCAAAAAAAAGATAGAACAACAATAATAATAATAATAATAATAATAATAATAATAATAATAATAATAATAATAATAATAATAATAATAATAATAATAATAATAAAAGAAATATTAATAATAATAATAGTAATAATTGTTCAAATTTCATGCCATCAGTCTTATGTTTTATTTTTTAAAGGTGAACTTTTTTTTTCTTTTCAAATATGTGAACTGGTTGTACTGTGTACTGGTTGTACTGTGTACTGTATGTACTGTGTGTACTGTGCATGAATGATGTTCTCTCTAGTTTAGGGATAATTTATTTTTGTATTCTGTACTGTATTGTATGTCATATAATGTACTACTTGTAAGTTGTAATCAGCATATAATAAAAATGCAGTTTTTATTGATTGGTCTGCTTGAAAAGTTTTACTTGAATATAAATGTAAAAAACCTGGAAGCAGCTGTATTGTGTTTGATCTATCGTAATCTATGATTTTAGTTTTGTAACCTGGACGGTCATACCGGTCCATCTATTAACCTGTTGTAAATAAATTAGTTGAATACGAACTTTTGTTCCGTACGGACAGATTTAGCCTGGGTAGGCTGATAGTTAGATTTAGTGGCGGTTTAGCTGATACAGTAGTCAGGGTTGACTGAGAAATTAGAGTTTGAGGCAATTTAGCAATAAAGTTTATCGGGCTAGATCTTTGCATATAGATAATATCAAATACTGGCAGTGTGTATTTTAATACTTAAATTGTTTCTGTTGGATACTTATACTCCCAATAGTTTGATCTCGATATCCGCTGTGAGCACTTTTAATTTAAGGATCAATCCTTCAGAGTTCAGAGTGTTTGTCAATGTTGGCATTCTCCTCTGCAACATACACTTCTAAGAACAATAATGCACTGGGTGTCCCAGAAAACATGAGAATTAAGAGATGACTTGAAAATCGTCTTTGATTTTACATTTTGACAGCAAGTGAATTATAAAAGGGTTACCTCATTCAGGGGAACTCATAAAACTGTGGAATTTTATAAAGACTGTTGAACTTGCAGGTTATAGTGCAAGGAAAGTTAATTGCAGTTGCGTATTCTCCGCGTACATAAAGAAACCAGTTTTCTCTGGGCGGAATTTGTAAACAAGAATAGATGCATCAGTGTTCGATATCCGAGGAGGTTAAAAGCATTAAATTTTGATAATTTTGATAATTCACATAATAGTTTCCTATGACCAGAACATTTCATTGATTGTTTATGTGAAAGATGGATCCAATGTCAGCCTTCGACATCCTTCTTGCATTAAAACCTTAGTTGAACTCAAGTTATGCTTAATTTGAAATATTCCAAATAATATAAAACAAAGCAACGGTGCAAAGTATATATGAAGCATAGCAGCCCTAAGGTTGCAGCACCCACGTTAAAATTGATGAGGATTTTTACAATTTCTTTTTATATTAAAGCTTAAAACGAAGTGCTTTCTAGGTCTGAAATGTATATGTTTATGGCTACAAAAAAGCATAGATGAGTTAGTTAGGTAAAATCAAATGTCACGTCGTTGCGACACTTTAAAGTCGATCTAGTCTTGATCGGTCTGGATCGATGTGAAAAAAACCATTAAATGTTAAACTAATAAGTGGCACCAATAATAAAGTGTAAAATAAAGACGATATTAAGGACGAAAGAATGCTGTGGCACCAATAATAAAGTGTAAAATAAAGACGACATTAAGGACGAAAGAATGCTGTGACACCAATAATAAAGTGTAAAAAAAAGACGACATTAAGGACGAAAGAATGCTATGGCACCAATAATAAAGTGTAAAATAAAGACGACATTAAGGACGAAAGAATGCTGTGGCACCAATAATAAAGTGTAAAATAAAGACGAAATTAAGGACGAGAGAATGCAGTGGTACCAATAATAAAGCGGAAAATGGAGACAATATCTTGAACAAAAGAATGCAGGGGTACCAAGAATAAAGGACAAAATAAAGACGAGTGGGGGAAAGTTATTGCTGTCCTGTATATTTATGAGAAGTTGTCTTCATTCACCATTTCATTTTAGGGAGTACTGTATTATGTAAAGAAGTTGTGTTTCTCTACCATTTTATTTTTGGGAGCACTGTATATTTACGAGAAGTTGTCTTCATTTACAATTTTATTTTCGGGTGCAACGAATATTAGAAATCAATCGTCATAAAACTTAGGTTCATTAGCGAAATTATTTTCAAAAACTATCGTTTAAAAAACCCGATCGCTTTAATAAAAACGATCTCTAAAAAAGATTTTTTTTTTTTAAAGTTCAGAACTAGTTGGTTCGTTTCAAAAACGTTCGTTTTGAGAAAATAAAACAATATTTTTTTCGATCGTTTTTAAAAACGATCAAGAACCCTTTATACCAGTCACCTCCAAGTTAGCAAATGTAAATATTATTTATTGATAATATTAATACCAATATTACTATTAATATCTAAATCCCACTAAAATAGATAATTGAGAGACGGATACACAAAACTCCAGAACGCTATGAAAAGTTGCATCTGTTTTAAAGACTGGCCCAGTAAAAAGTCACACCTTTTACTTTTTTGTAGCCCTTGACATGTACTTTTTAGAACTTTAAGGAAAGTTTTATTTTCCAAAAAATAACTTGCATGCAACCTTTGGATCCCTTCAGGGGATATAACAATATGTTTAATAAACATTTAAAAGCTTTCCAAAATGTGACTTATTTGTATCATACTCACCCCGTGGACAAACCAGAGCGAGATGCATTCGATTTCTCCTATTTGAATCCAATCTTTTTTTTATTTTTTAATTCATTAATCTTAAAACTTACTGAGTTGTATTTTATACTTTTCCATTTAAAATGTGAAAATTTACGATGAATAGGTAAAATTTGTATTTCTAGTCCCAGCTTGCTGGGATAAAACTGTTAAATCTGCGTGTAATTTTTAAGTTAGGCAGGTAGTGCGATAAGAAAACAGTTAATTCTATTTATTGACACACTGGTAATTGAGAATTCTGACTCTTTGGAAGAAATTATCATGTTGTGACTGTATAATACTCTGTATATATACAATCCTATACATGCAATATAATCGATAAACGAATACAATATCTTAAATTTAGTTGGATACCCAGCATTGCCTGGAGTTTCCTTATAAACGTGAGTCCTTTCAATTTAGAATATTCAAACCAGGATAAGAACATTCCCGTGGTTCTATCAAGTTCCCCAATACAAATTTGAGACAAATCGATCTTGGGGTTTTTGAGTTTCCAAAAAAAACAGAGATTATTACTTTTTATATCTGATTCTTTAATCAATTAGCAAACAATGGATTGATTGTCGGCTTTTTTCCTGTTTTTTTTAACCATGCAGCGTCAGCATATGGATATTGTTAATTTAACTGATTTGGGTCTAAAACTGTGCTCAGACCATTTAGGAGACAATCAGACCATTTAGGAGACAAATTTCAGTTTTAACTTTTACAAAATACAAGATCCTTAACTATCAGATTAAAAGTTAAGAGGATCAACAAAGATAGCAACCTCAAGTTTTCTTGTAACTATTGCATCTATGAAGCTGAAAGGTTGCAAGTTCGTACGCAAAAATCGATGAGAATGTTGCCAACTACTTCCTAAAACTAAAGCTAAAAACGATTGCTTGTAATTCATAGGTCTAATGAGTACAAATCTACAAAAAAGTAGGTTAGTCAAGACGTTTTGACTCTTCAAATTCGTCCCGGTCTAGAAATTGGTGCAATTTTTCATAGCTTTCTGAACACAGAAAAAAATTAACGGCTAATGTGAGTGAAACGTACTTGTTTATACCAATATGTACAAGCTCATATTTAGGCAATATATTAAACCTTTACAAAAACTCTCTCATCAATCATATCATAAGTAATAACGCTATTTCGCTAATTTTCTGAAAACTCTTTTCATAATTCATTGAAGTAAAGGAGAACAGTGGATAATAATAGTTCTCATGTAAAGAATGTATAGAAAAAACCTCACAAACAAACGCACACAAAATGAACAAAAAATGAACATAGTATCTTATATTTCTAACTTTCGATCTAATATTACAAATGTTTATCTAGAGCACTTTTACTGCTTTTTAGTGGGGCTTAGTTTTACATAGCTCTGAAGGGGGGGAGGGGCGACAGGCCCAGGAGAATGGGGGGGGGGAGGACTTGTACAACAAAAAACAGAATTTACCAAAATTCCACAACCAAAGGTACATACAAGTATCACATGTGAGGACCACAATGGTCCGAAACAGTCACAAAAATTTATAAGAAAAATGTGTTTTATGTTTTGTTTACATTGATGAGTTGAATACAACCTTGATCATAATAATATACAGTTCACAATCGGAAACATTTAGTTCCTTTAAAAAGCAATTTTGAAAGTTAATTTTTTTCTCTATGATTATGAATCACAACCAAAAAGTGATGTTTTTTTGTGGATTTAAATTAATTTAAGTTTTTATAAAAAATGTTAATTGTATAAAAATGTTGAAGCTAGAAACTAAGTTGGTTAAAATATTCTTATATTTGATTTTTCATAACAGTATTTGAGCAAGGTAGATTTTCTTTAAATTATCTTAAAAGTCTTTACTAAAACCCTGTACGTAGATTACAAATTAGGAAATTGTTAAATTCGAAACTAAGATTAAGCTGTCTTTTTTAACCAAGAGAAATTTTGGGTATTTGTACTTTACTCCTATTCTGAGTATTTTTAAGTGAATAAAAGAGAGAAATTGTTTATATTTTTGGGCTGAAACTGTCAGGTTAGGAGTGCAGAATTTACTTACATTGCCCAGGCTATAGATACATTTTGTAATAATACTATTGTAAATTGGTGAATCATACTTTTAGAAGAAATGATTAAAATCTAATATTTTCTATTTAGGAAAAATAATCCTAAAATACTATTGATTGAATAATTCACCAACATGCATTGAAATTTATATATGCAAAACTTCTGCAAAAAAAGGCGGGAGAGTTTTCAGCGCAAAATGCCGCGTGAGAAAACCCCCGTTTCTTTGCAGCAGATCTTTTTAATTTGAAATGTTACTTCCAAGATATTTGGATGATTTTCTCAGAATTATTGGTGGATTTCTGACTATCCTCGGTTTCTTCTACTGGTTTCACATGAATAATAAAGGTGTTATGAGGGTGTTTAGTAGAGTTTTCATGTTTATACATGCCTGGCGCCCTTTCTATATACAAATATCGATCCGATATTAATTATTCAAAATTTCAGATCAGGAGAGAGTTAGGGTTAGAGTTGTAAGCAAGCCAATGATAAAGATATAAGTGTCAATCTTTAAAAAACCAACTTTAGTACTGCCAACTGTTTATGACGTTTTCGACAAAAAAAGTTAATATCTTATCATTCTTATGAATACACCTTTAGAGACTAGGATAAATCTAACGAATTAACATGTTTTTCTGCAGCTGATATCACGCATGTATGAAAAATTCATAATTCTGGATAACGGAAAAAATATTCACGAAAAAAATGTCATTTTCCAAGTGTTGAAAATCATCCAAATATCTTTTTTTATACTATTTATGATTACATATTATGAATTCTATTGATAATTTATAGGTTAAAAACTATAGTTCAAGGGAAAAGTAGTAAAAGGCACAAAACACGGTAAAGTTTTTGAAAAAAAATGAAAAAATTCGGCCCAAAAGTGACTAAAGTTTCGAAAAAAATATCACATTTTTGAAACGATTCGATTGATTATCGAAAAAGAGCGAGGTTTGGGGTTCTAAGGTGATTAAACAAGAAAAAACAACCTTTTTATCACAGGGTGTTCTAGATTTATTAATAAAGAGTAAAGATATAGTTTGAGCACACCCTGTTTTAACCCACACATTGTCAATATTTACAAATTGTTTTTGTATCTAAGTAAATAGGTTAGTTTTGTCGCCATTAAAAATCTGAAAAAGTCACCAGGATTTCGGACCAGATGTTGCAAGATGCGTGAAAAAAAATCTGCAAAACTAAAAGCTAATCCTTGTCGTTATTTGAATAGATTGAATATTAAGTACCTTTAAATATTAAAGATACAATTGTTTCAATTTAGAGTAACATTTAAATTAAGGATTTTTCAGAAAAAGTTTCGTTTTTGCAGATTTTTCTTCAAACACTCAAAGTTTGGCACAAGCGTGCCCTCAAACCAGAAAGAGATTATTTTAAAATCACAGAATTTTGGCAATAATTTGAGAAGATTTACACCCATTTTAAGGACTTAGAAATTATGTCTCGCATTAGTGAGAAAAAAACACGTTTAAACGTTCAAGACTACAGTTTTACAATTAGACCCAGTTTTACAGTTTTCAACACGCGTGTTCAGATCTTACAGAGATTCAATAATGTTCTCTTTTACAAAACCAATAAAATGACAAAAACTAATAATTATATCAATACATTGACTTTGAGTACCCGAACCATAGGTTGGTTTAAAGTTATCTTAAATCTAAAAAGGAATCAAATAGGAACAATGTTAGCATTAAGCAAATAATCTTGACACATTATAAAAGGAACTTGTAACTGTGAAACAATTAACGGGAATAGTCTAAAAAAAGAAAACAGATAGTATACATTAGACGTCGAGTATAATTACTTGATAACCCGATGTTAAGGAACATATGATAAACCTAGAAACATTGTATTCTTCTCCTGCACCCCCCCAGTATGGTGCGGTAGTGTAGAAATTAATAAAACTAGAGCAAAGACGACATTGGTCTCACTGAAGCATTGCCAATGTCTGCCTGGAGTCTGGAAATTTTGATATGTCAGCTTCCACCGGATTTGATATTCTATTGTGAATAATGGCTTCACCGCCATACTCCGCCGGCGGGGAGATAGAGGGAGAAGTGGCAGGATTTGAATCGAACTCCTCGCTGTGATAATCCATCTCGAAATCGGCGCGATCCATGTGCTGCATTCGAGCGTGCAATTTGATCGTCTCAATGTCGTCTTCATCAACATCAAGTCCGAGTGTACCGTTTTGGTGGTTTTTGAGGTGGGTCTGCATCGATGACTTGAAAGCAAACCTTTTCGGACACAATGTGCACTGGAAGGGTTTCTCTTTAGTGTGAGTTTTGATGTGTGCGTCCAGATTTCCTTTCTGTGTAAATCTTTTGTCACAGAAGTCACAGTTGTAAGGTTTTTCACCAGTATGTAGTCGAATGTGCGTTACTAAGTTACATTTTTGTGAAAACCTTTTCTCACAAATTTCACAGGAGAAGGGACGGTGTTGTTTAAGATGCTCCTCAGTTACGGTTTTATCCTCGAAACTAAGGTCACAGGTCATACAGTAGTTGGGTGGATCGGACCCACTGTGGTTCGACTCTGTCCCCCCTTTGTCTAGAGGCTTGTCAATGGCTAAAAAATGATGATCTGCTTCGCTGGAGGGAGGTAAGCTACTCCCTGGAGAGTAGTTAGGAGAGAACTGATGATGGGGAGAACGATCTAGCCTAGGATGCTCCGGGATACCGTATCCATGGGATTGATGTTCCGACCCGTAGGATTGAGAGAGAGGTACATCTGGACCCAGGCCAGGGTTGTAGGCTGGTTGGCCCGACATATGAGGAGGGGTCATACCACCCATGTATCTTTGGTTAAAGGAACCCATGCCCGGAAACTGATGGTTCTGTGCTGCTCCTGGATCAGGAAACCCAAAGTTTGGAGGTCCTGACAGATTGGGAGATGATGTTTGGCTGGGTGAGTTGTTTGGAGCTAAATCCTTGGCTCTAGGCGTGGCAGCTATAGGCCCCTGTGGACCGGTTCCGCCCACTGAACCACCTGCGGGTGGGTTGTTCTTCTCACATTTCCGTAGATGGACCTGCAGTACGTTAGGAAGCATAAACCCTTTACCACAGTTGTTGCAAACATAAGGTCGTTCTCCGTTATGCGAGCGTCGGTGTACCCTGACATACCATGCGGTTGAAAACCTTTTCTGACAGACTTCACATGTGTATCTCTTCTTGTTCCCATTTTTGGTTGTCTCTCCAGGCACCTTAGGAGCGTTCGGGTCAAGCATTGCCTTCGGCCTTCCTGGTCCCCGTTTCATTTCTGACGGAGAACCGAGCATATCTGGGGGAAGGCCATCTGGTCCACCGTAATATGGGGAGGCTCCGGGGGTACTCGGATTCCGAGGTCGAGCCCCTCTCTCCCCTTTCGAGGTTAGACGGGGTCGCCCAGGTCCCCTTCTTTCTCCCCGTGGTCGTGGTCCTCTCATAGCCCAGGGTCCAGGAGCTGGCCCTAAACCAGGACTTCCCATTCTGTACGGTCCCATATCTGGACCGGGATGAGGACCTCCCTGCCACCATCCCTCCAGTCCCATGTGTGGGGACATGGGACCAGGATATCTGCCCCCATTATGTTCCTCTGATGGAGCCCCGCCTGGATTATAGAAGTTTGCCCACATCTGTTGTTGATTAGGATACTGTAGATGATGAGGAGGGGGGTAACCAGGCTCTAAACCTGCAAAAAGTATTGCTATTCAGAATTATATATTATGCAAATGCGATGTTGTAGCAAAAATATCAATAGATTTAGGTAACTTTATACATATGAAAGGCAGGGTACTGATTGGTGTTGAAGAGTGTCAGGGAAGGAAGGGGAGGAGGAGGGAGGGAGGGGGGGACTTTATGAAGGGAGGGGAGGGTATACATTGATATAAGGGGTGGTGGGTGGCCAGGTCTATCCTGCAAAGACGTTTTTGAGATAAACCTCGGCAATTATCCAGCCCCCCCCCCCTCCCGTCCTTCTGCCTAGAGTAGAACTCAAGGTCACTCCACAGCACGAATGCCACACTAATCCGCCCACGGCTAAACGCAGAGGACTAATTGAAATCCGCTAAAAAACGGATCCGATAGATGATTAACAATCCGTGAATTTTTCATACGTAAAATCCAAGAAATATTGATGCTTTTTTTAATAGGGGAAGATGATCAAACTGGTTTTGGGTTTAACTGCCAGGAGGTGGGGGGGGGGGGGGGTTCAAGTATCGGCCTTGTTTGTAAAGTATAGTGGCGCGAAACTCGAAACTAGAAAATGGTGGAATTTTGGGATTCTTCAGACCGATTCAAATGTAACGACATTTTCGGTTTAATTCTGCTTCACTGGAGAGAGATAGATAGAGAGATAGCTTAGAAGGGATAGATAGATAGATTAGCAAGAATAGTTAGATAGATAGACATATGTATAAGCAAAGATAGATGGATGGATAGATAGCTAGTCAGTTAAATAGTTGCACATACAGATAGCTTGTCAGTTGATGGACAGATGGCTTGCAAAAGATAAAAATAAGCAGATAGCTTGACATTGATAGACAAGCTATATCTAATATATATACAAGAGGGATAGGTCCATGAAAAAATAGCTTGATAACTGAGCAAAATACAGATATACACAGAGAGAAAAAAAAACATTACTAAGTCCAGATAGATATATAGATAAATGAATAGATAGATAGATAGATGTATAGATAGATTTATAGATAGATAGATAAATATATAGATAGAAAGATAGACAGCTAGACGTATCCGTGGTTTAGATTTGATGAGAAGATAGATAAATAGATATGACAGTCCTGATGGATGGATTTTAAAACAAATAAATGAATAGATGAATATATATATATATATATAAGAAATCAAGATCTATAGTATCGACTGGTATTTAAATCAAAAAATGAATTTATAGCAAATATTAGGATGAAATTGAACATTTTTTTCTCTGTTTAAATCATCATTAGTTTTAGAAATAAAATCACGCAACCTCGAGTAATTCCCTGATTTTTCTGAATAAATGAATGGCTAAAGGTTGAATTTAGGGGGAGGGGATGTACTTTAATTTTAGGGGGAGGGTGGAAGTAGGGGGGGGGGAGGGTTTTTTATTTTGTCATAAAAGATAGAATGGTAATTACATGCTACAGATTTAACATTTAAAGATTTATTTCCAATAAATAAATCAAACAATTAAAAAGTTAAATCATTCAAGGTGTATATAAATACATAAACAAAGAACAAACTTAATAGTTTAACAACTAACAGCTAAAACATCTAAATCATTTTCTATCATTTAATACATAAATGCGTTTTTAGAATTTTACGCCAAAATTTTCAAATGTTCAAATTTTAAAATGACTTGCAAGTTGGCGGCTGCCTGAACATTTAATTTGCAGTTACAAACATCTATCCCAGGAAAATGCATTAAAAGTTGCATCCAACCAAACTTGAAATATAGAGAATTGTGATTTTTTTAAGAAAAAAATAATACGATATGGAGCTTTCAAAAGAATAAAAAAAAATATTTACAGGAATTAGTTTTTCTTGCATCATTTATATCAGTAGGTGAAGTAAGTTGAAAATAACAAATATTATAATAAGTGTTTTAGAAAAAAGGAAAAAACAAATTAAAAAGTTTTAAAAAAGAGATTTTAATACATAATAATTATAGGAATAAAATAACAAATACGCAGAAGGTATCTAGGAAAATTAAATATAATAAACATTATGTCAAAAATATTAGAAAAGAATAATTGATTCATAAAAAACGAAACAGAAAAAAAGAGAGAGAATTAATAAAAAAGAGGGGGGGGGAGCAAGAAATAGAGATGTGTTAATAATTATAAACTAAAGACAAAATTACAGAGAAAATATAATATAAAAAATGCATATTAAGCGGTAAATGAATCCCTGAATAAAAGGTTAAAAGGAAAGGTATTGAATAAAGAAAGGATGGAAAGGTATGGAATAAAGAAAGAAAGGACGGAAAGGAATTGAATTTAAAATGACATGAAACTGAAAACTATCAAATTTCTGCAAGACTGAAAGGAATCTTTTGATGAGGGTTTTGAAGTTGGAAGGGGAGGGGAGAGCTTTAAAAATAATCATATTTAAAATATATGACGCTAAAATTCATTATTCAAATTAAGAGAGGAAAATGTAGTTTTGAGCAGAATAAGAATTGATAAAATTTAAAACTGTTCTCGCAGAAAAATTAAGTTAAGTCCACCCTACACTTTTAAACTGTCATACCCCGCACTACTCCAACATATCTTAAACCACTCTTAGACCAACAAATTTTATTGGAAATTTTCAAAATCAGAAATGCCAAGTTCTATCAAGTATAAAGTAGGAAATATAATGGACAACAGAAACTAATTAATGTTGTTACTGATATATGTAATATTGAATTTAAGATTGCTGACCATGAGCGCTGGAAAAAAGAGCAACTAAAAAATAGCAAATTATCCAAATGGCTTGAACATACTGAATATTGAAAATATTGAGTGAAACAACTTAAATGGCACCGCCAATATAATCGCCACTTCGTCATCCAAATCGCGACAATAATGACGTAGTCGCAAGAGCAAAGAGTATGTATGTACAATGTACATTGTAAATGAATGGAAAATGTTTGTTTGACACGGAAGAAAAAATCTATGAGAAAATGGCAGAAAAAACTTGTCTCTGAAAGGTAAAACTCGGCGCCATATAATTGGTGGGACAGAGGGTAGCTTAGCAACCCTGGGTTGGGAAATATACGGCAAAGAACAATAAAAAAGGGGGCACGCACCAACCTTTTCTCAGGGTTTCTCAACCCTACCTACGCGAGAGGGGGGCGGGAGTGGGGGTAGGGCGACGTTGGGGGAGGGGGGGGGGCTTCTTAGCTGGTTCAGATATAGAGAAACATATGTTTCCTTTGACCAGAGAAGGAGAAACAATTATGAAATTTGTTTGGAATTACAAAAAAAAGAAAAAATGCTGATTTTAGAGCCTAAGAATGATGAAATTAATAAAGAATGGCAAATTTTAAAATATCAATATGAATTATAAGACAAAATACAAATTATGAACGAGTTAGGAAAAGTGTGGAATCTTAAAAAGTTGAAAAAGGGAAAATGAGACTAAAAAAGGAAGAAAAAAGTTGAAAAAAAGAGCATAAACCAAGATTAAAAAAGGAATTGTGCCACAAACTCAAATTTTCGAAGGCGCGAAGTCTTTTTGATCTAACAGAATTTATAGAATTTGAAATTATAAAGTCTTAGACATTTTCTTGCAAAGATAATCATAGTTTGTGGCAAAACCTCAATTCCTTTAGAAGTTAAAAGAACTAAATACTGAAATATAAGTTTAAGAAGGAAAGACACAAGGAAAATTAAGACAAAGTGAAGAAAAAACGAATGGCTGTCAGTGTACACAAAATTTCGGAAAATCTCCACGTAGCCGAAATATAAACGTACACAATGAACCACATGAAAACTATAAAAAGATGTAAAAGTCTCTGAATAAAAAACTCTGATGGCTACTCATGAGAATATTTCAAATACACGTTTCGTCTAATCACATGAACAAACATTAGAAGTGATTAGCAGGTAGGGAGGTTAGTACATAGAAGTAATGCAGGGGTTTTAGGCATAATTTTTAGTACACATGATAAGCAAAATTCAAGGCGCTATTAACCCTATCCCTGCTGGGGTACTTGAAAACCAGTTTACCTGTATTAATTCCCCAATACCTCCCAATTACACGTCCTTAACGCTTGAAATCCCTCTATTAAACTACAGCTTTTTCAATCCCGTTCACTCCCCTTCACTCCCATTCTAGTGGTCAATTTACTCCCTTCGATTTCATCCTTATTTGACCACCCTTTCTTTTTAACATCCCACTCCTTGGAATGGAAAAAAACCACTCAATCTAAAAAAAACAAATACAAAATAGTATTTATGATAATTCAGTTTAAGGATTCTCTGTTCCTGTAAAGGAAACCCTAAAACATACTCAATATCTTTCATAAAAACGGTAAAGGGGAAACAGAACTAAGTCCACATATAAACTGATCAAAATCTAAAATAAAGGACGTCGTTACTCACATTGAGCTCAATTCATAAATCTTTGCAACCTAATGGTGAAACTAAACAATTTTAATCTTTGACTTTTTTATCTACCAGAATTCAAAAGTTAAAATATCAAATATCAAATATCATCAGGTTGCACATGAGACAAGTAAATCAGTTTCTTTACAAATTAAACCAAATCTATTGCAGGGCTTGAAAATAAATGTTAATTTAAAATAAAGTATATAAAGCCAAGAACTTTTTATTCTAACACGTATTGACATTATTTTCATGCATCATCTGACAAAACACCGATTCACAAGTTTTTATTGATTGATTGATTGGAGAGCTATAGCGAGTGAATGATCCAGTGAATAATATTATAAAAAGCTTGTATTTGGAGAAGAGTGCTCTGATATCCTGGTACCAGAAACCAGCAGAGAGGACATATATACTTTAAACTTTCTAAACTGGGTCAGCTTAACATCGAGATTATGTACACTATACAGGCTATTACTAGTACAGCTAGGGGAATGATTATGTATGGTTGGGTGGGGGGGGGGTGTTACTGGGGGGAATAAACCCCCTGTAGTATAGTGGGTGAATCCTAGTGTAAAATCGCATTGGCCGGAGATTG